GGAGTTACCCAAGTTTCTGTAATGGCCACAACATCGTAGTTCCAAGTACCGACCTATGCTCTAAGTTCATCCGCCTTATTTCTGATAAGCTGATAGAAGTTTATAAGATTGTGAATGGCATGGATAGAGTGGAAAGTATGAGGCTCTTTCCCAGGGTGGAGAGGTCAACTACAAGGGGACACAGCTTCAAGGTTTGGTTGGGGGGCGGGGCGCGGTGGGGGGAGGGGGGGGGTGGGGGGGGGGGAGTTGCGGGTTTACAAGAGATATGCAAGGCGAGTTTTTCACACAAAGGGTGGAACACCTCACTTGAGGTGGTGATGAAAGCAGACATAATAGCAGCATTCAAGTAAGACTTGCATGAATACATGAATAGAAAGGTAATATATGGATATGGATCCTGTAAGTGAAGATAGCTTTGGTATGGAAGAGCAAAACGTGTCGCAACAGGCTTGGAGAGCCAAAGGGCCTCTTCCTGTGCTTGTGTTGTTCTTGTAACCTCTTCAGTCTAAAGGAGATGCATTTTTCAATTTATGCAACTATATTGTTCAGCAGTCTATTTGCTTAATGTGTTTATCACTGAAAAGAAAGCCAAAGTACTCTTTCGTCATTGATAGTATAGGCAAGCATGTGTGACCCATGCCTTACTACCTTTGAACCGAATGGCTGGCTGGGCCATTTCAGATGGGTGTTACAAGTTAGCCATATTTCTATGGGAATGGGCTCACATGTATTCCAGACCAGGTAAAGACAGCAGGTTTCTTTCTTCAAAGGACATTAATGAACCAGATGGATTTTTACCACAATCGGTGGTAGTTTCATGGTCACCATTACTGAAACTAGCTTTCATTCCAAATTCAAAGAATTGAATTCAAATTTCACCCAGGTTCCCTTGGAATTAGCCTCTCAGGAATAGTTCTAATAAGTCTAGACTCTTGGGGGAAACAATGGCACAGTGGTAATGTCACTGTACCATCCGAAGTCCAGGGTAATGTTCTAGGAATACGGGTTCAAACTCCACTGTGGTAGTCAGTGAAATCTGAATCCAGTATAAATAAAATCTAGTGGCAACCATGAAATTACTGTTGATTGATGGGTTAAAAAAAACCCTATTTGGTTCATTAAAGTCCTTCCTCACCTGGACCTACATGTGACTCCAGACCCACAGCATTATGGTGGACTCTTAACTGCTTTTTGGGTAATTAGGAGTGGGCAATAAATGCTGGCCTATTCACGAAGGTTAGAAAAAACCCTACAGATTTACGCAAAACCATTTCAACACCATGCACAACACACCTTTCCTTTCCTTTCCATGTGTAATACTTCATATTCACAACTACACTGTCTTTCACACTTGAATCCAAGAGATCAGGATCCTAAACCATTAGTCAAATGTCATCTAGTTGTCACATCATACATAACAGGTAATGCATAACACCCACTAATATTCAGTCATTCTGGCAGCAGCAACTTCACAATGTAAAGCCTAAAGATATATGTCAGGCTCCAAGTGATCGATTATGATAAGGGATTCTTTAGTTAGAGGTACAGACAGACGATTCCGAGGTCGACAGTGAGAAATTAGAACAGTGTGTTGCCAAGATCAAGCATATCTCCAACGGGGTGCAGAATATTCTCAAAGGGGAGACGGACCAGCAGGAGGTCGTTGTACACATTGGAACTAACAACATAAGAAAAAGATGAAATTCGGAGGAGAGAATATAAGAAGTTAGGCAGGAATTTAATAAGGAGGTCATTGAGGGTAGTTATACCTGGATTACTCCTGGTGCCACAAGCGAGTGGGGGTAGGAATAGAAGGATAGAGCAGATGAATGCATGGCTGAGGAACTGGTGCAGGGGAGAAGGATTCACATTTTTGGATCATTGGACTCTCTTCTGGAGTAGGCGTGACTTGTATAAGGAGGACGGGTTGCACCTGATTTGGAAGGGAACTAATATACTGATGAGGAGATTTGCTAGAGCTACTCAGGAGGATTTAGACTATTAATGGTGTGGGGTGGGACCTAGTGAGGTAGTGAGGAAAGAGATCAGTCTGAGGCTAGTATAGTTGGGAAAAGGAGCAAGTCAAACAGTCAGGGCAGGCAGGAACAAAGCAGAGAACGAGGTAGGACTGATAAATTAAACTGCATTTATTTCAATGCAAGAATCCTAACAGGTAAAGCAGATGAACTCAGGGCATGATTGGGAACATGGGACTGGGATATCATAGCAATTACAGAGACCTGGCTCAGGGATGGAAAGGGCTGGCAGCTAATGTTCCAGGATACAGATGCTGCAGGAAGGACAGAAAAGGGGGGCAAAAGAGGATGGGGAGTGGCGTTTTTTCTGAGGGATAACACTGTGGCTGTACTTGGGGAGGATATTCCTGGGAATACGTCCAGGGAAGTTACTTGGGTGGAACTGTGAAATAAGAAAGGGATGATCACCTTATTGGGATTGTACTACAGAACACACAATAGTCAGCAAGAAATTGAGAAAGAAATTTGTAAGGAGAGCTCAGTGATCTGTATGAATAATAGGGTGGTTATGATAGGGGATTTAAACTTTCCAAACATAGACTTGGGACTGCTATAGTGTTAAGGGCTTGGATGGAGAGGAATTTGTTAAGTGTGTACAAGAAAATTTTCTGATTCAGTATATGGATGTTACCTACTAGAGAAGGTGCAAAACTTGACCTACTCTTGGGAAATAAGGCAGGGCAGGTGACAGAGGTGTCAGCGGTGGAGCACTTTGGGGCCAGCAACCATTATTCTATTAGTTTTAAAATAGTGATGGGAAAAGATCAAAAAGTTAAAAGTTCTAAATTGGAGGAAGGCCAACTTTGACGGTATTAGGCATGAACTTTCAAAAGCTGATTGGGGGCAGATGTTTGCAGGTAAAGGGACAGCTGGAAAATGAGAAGCTTTCAAAAATGAGATGAGAATCCAGAGAAGTATGTTCCTGTTAGGGTGAAAGGCAAGGCTGGTAGGTGTAGGGAATGCTGGATGACTAGAGAAATTAAGGTTTTGGTCAAGAGAAAGAAGGAAGCATGTTAGGTATCGACAGCAGAGATGGAGTGAATCCTTAGAAAAGTACATTCCTACTGCCTTTATACTCAAGAGGGGAATCAGGAGGGAAAAAAAGTGACATGAGATAGCTTTGGCAAATAGGGTTATGGAGAATCCAAAGGGATTCTACAAATACATCAAGGACAAAAGGGTAACAAGGGAGAGAATAGGGTTGCTTAAAGATCAGGAAGGCCGCATATGTGTGGAGCCACAGGAGATGGGGGAGATACTAAACGAGTATTTTGCATCAGTGTTTGCTGTGGAGAAGGATATGGAAGATACAGAACGTGAGGAAATAAATAGTGACATCTTGAAAATTGCCTATTTACATAGGTAGTGGTGCTGGACGGCTTAAAACGCAAAGAAGTAGATAAATCCCCAGGACCTCATCAGGTGTATTCTAGAAATTGGTGGGAAGTGATTGTTAGGCCCCTTCCTGAGATATCTGTATCATCGATAGCCACAGGTGAGGTGCCAGGAGACTGGAGGTTGGCTAATATGGTGCCACTATTTAAGAAAGGTCATAAAGGAAGAGCCAGGGCACTACAGACCGGTGAGCCTGACATCGGTGGTGGGCAAATTGTTGGAGGGAATCCTGAGGGACAGGATTTACATGTATTTGGAAAGGCAAGGACTGATTAGGGATGGTCAACATAGCTTTGTGCATGGGAAATAGTGTCTCACTAACTTGATTGAGTTTTCTGAAGTAGTAACGAAGAGGATTGATGAGAGTAGAACGGTGGACATGATCTATATGGACTTCAGTAAGGCGTTTGCCAAGGTTCCTCATGGTAGGCTGGTTAGCAAGGTTAGATCACATGGAATACAAGGAGCACTAGCCATTTGCATACAGAACTGTCTGGAAGGTAGAAGACAGAGGGTGGTGGTGGTGGAGGTGAAGGGTTGCTTTTCAGACTGGAGGCAAATGACCAGTGGTGTGCCACAAGGATCGGTGGTGGTCCACTGCTTTCCATCATTTATATAAATTATTTGGATGTGAAATAGGAGGTACGGTTAGTAAGTTTGCAGATGACACCAAAATTGGAGGTGTAGTAGACAGAGAAGAAGATTACCTGAGAGTACAACTCAGATCAGATGGGCTAATGGGCCAAGGAGTGGGAGATGGAGTTTAATTTGGATAACTGTGAGGCGCTGCATTTTGGAAAGGCAAATCAGGACAGAACTTATTCACTTAATGATAAGGTCCTGGGGAACATTGTTGAATGAAGAGACCATAGAGTGCAGGTTCATAATTCCTTGAAAGTGGAGTCACAGGTAGATACGATAGTAAAGGTGGTATTTGGTATGCTTGCCTTGATTGGTCAGTGCATTGAGTATAGGATTTGGGAGGTCATGTTGTGCCTGTAAAGAACACTGGTCAGGCCACTTTTGGAATACTGCATGCAATTCTGGTCTCCCTGCTATTGGGAAAGCAAGTCGTGAAACTTCAAAGCGTTCAGAAGATGTTGCCGGGGTTGGAATGGTTGAGCTATAGGGAGAGGCTGAATAGGCTTGGGGCTATTTTCCTTGGAGCATCAGAGGCCTAGGGGTGACTTTATAGAGGTTTATAAAATTATGAGGGGCATGGATAGGGTAAATAGACAAAATCTTTTCCCTGGATGGGCAAGTCCAAAACTGGAGGTTTAAGGTGAGAGGGGCAAGATTTAAAAGGGACCTAAGGGGCAACTTTTTCATGCAGAGGGTAGTGTATGTATGGAATGAGCTGCCAGAACAAATGGAGGAGGCTGGTACAATTACACCATTTAAAAGGCATTTGGATGGGTACATGAACAGGAAGGGTTTAGAGGGTTATGGCTCAAATGCTGGCAAATGGGACTAGATTTATCTAGGATATCTGGTTATCATGGACAAGTTGGACCAAAGGGTCTGTTTCCACACTGTACATCGCTATGACTCTACGTTTTTAAACATTACCTGCCTCTCTGTTCTGACCATATTTTTGCTCCCATAAGTCAAGCAAAATGTTGAAGTAACGGGGCTGTTCGAAGAACCGGAGATAGCGGGATGAATGTTGGCCAGGGAACACCCGCTCAAACTGTCCTCGTCGACTGTACTCATCCTCGGATTCCATTAACATCCGGATATCATCTGGGGTAAGAATGTCCAGCAGAGAGGAATAGAAATGCTGGAAGACAGATACAACATGTGGTTCAAAAATTTAATTGTCACCCTACCTGATTTCAACGTAGAGAGTGAGGAGTGCACAAATCATCAGCATTTGTAAAGAGTAGGAAGCTAATGTTTAGACTGTGGACTTTGCTAGAAAGGAAACAGTCAAGTTTTTTGACTTGTACTCATCAGAACTTTAATGCAAGAAAGACTTGAAAAACATGACACTATTTTGTATGGCGCGAGAAGACAAAGCTGATTGTTTGGACTATACAGACATGGAGGTGCAGCAAAAACAGTTAACTGTAGTCTGTCTGTTCCTTGGATTTTCTCCGAATGGATTCTTACTAAGCATAGACTAGTTCAATACTACTTTTTAAAATTGTTCTGACAAAAATTTGCTGTAGGTACAATTGTTAGGCATTGGAGAAATATAGAGAGAATAACATCAGCAATTCCATAACCCCTGCTGCTAAAGAATTGCACCAACAACCATAGCCAAATTGATCTTCCTTTTTAAAAAAAGGGATGGAAATATGGGATCTGTGAGATCCTTTAAAATCTTTACAGTAAATGCAGAAGAAGTACAATGTCACCCTATATACTCTAATGTTGAAATGAATGTTTACTGCATTACTTGCTGTTGTAACAAAAGCCTCAGCACCATGTAGTTCCTTTGCAATCTCAAAAATTCAAGACCTAGGTGGTCATCTCCTTACTTCCTGATTTAACAAAAAAATCCTTTGTTTCTCCACTCATTCAAAAGTCTCTGTTGGAAGTTAAAAATGAATCAGTCTTTTGCTAATAATGCACCCCACTGAATAGAATGGGCAACAAACTTGTGACACCAGCTCAATTATCTGCAGTTAGTCATGGTACAAAATGACAGATGACCCAAACCAACAAAGCAGAATTTAGGTAGCTCAAATTGAATGAAGTATTTGCCAGATGTAGTGAACGATGAACAGTTATGTCAGGGGTACTAATAACGTCTCTCTTTGCACTTCTGACGATGTACTGGAAAGGCAAATTACCATAGGTGGTGATTTCTGACTCAGGTAGTAAACCCGCTTCAATTTCTCGTCAGCGGTAAGCTCATTGCTCTTTGGTCTAGATGAAGTGCTACAGAACAAAAGGAAAAAAATCTTAATTTTCCATATTCGAGGGCATTACCGAATCTCAATTGATATAGCACAGAAGGAAGTATTGTGCCTGCATCAACTCTATTCTCTAGTGCTAATTTCCTTCACTTTCCCCAGATCCTCTTCTATATTTAAGTAATCAATCAATGCCATCTTTAAAGCCTCAATTGAAACGGTCTTCATCACATTTCCATGAAGTGCCAGTCCATACCCTAACTATTCAAGTCAGATAAAGTTTTTTCTCACATCACCTTACTTTGTTCATACATCACGTTAAAATCTATGCTTCCGAGTTCTTTTCTTCCGAGCGGGAACAACTTCTCCCTATCTACTGTTCTTTCACAGCTCTACATGGTAGTCCACCTACTTTACAATTCCAAGTCATCTTCAACTTTGAATCTGTCCCCTCAAGACCAAGATACAAATCATTAATTGTCATCAATCATACACTAATGAGTACAATTGTGCACTTGGGAATGTGTCACTGGTCACAGGTTCTGTGGGTCCATTCACGGCTGATGAGCCCAATTCTAGAACATCTCAGTCCACACATTTGGCAGGTGTTTCCAGAAAGTGGAATTGGTCCTTGGCTTTGAGACCGCTGGCATTTCTTTCACTGGCTCCCATTCTGCATTTCCTCTTGCTGACAAGTGTTCTCAAATAATAGTTTCCCTTCATACAGGAGGTACCTCTAAGTTTGTTTCTATTAAATATTGGGCCTTCCACAAGTTGACATCCATGTTGTATTCCTGGAGGAAAGCCTTCCGGTAGTCTTTGAAAAGCTTCCTTTGTTCTCCTCTCACTCGAGTGCCTTCCTTGAGATGGGCAAAGATGATTTACTTTGGTGGATGGAACTCTGGCATCCTAAGCACATGACCGGCCCAGGGAATTTGGTTTTGGATGATTGTGACTTCGATGCTGGTGTTGTCGATTGCTTCAAGGATGCTCATCCTCCCAGCTGATATGGACAATGTTTTCAAACTACGTTCATGGTTCCGTTCAACAGATTTGAGGTGGCAGTTGTACATAAACCAAGTTTGAGTTGTACAGAAGAGTCAGAAAGATGACTGCCTCACACAAAGGATCTTGATATGAGCATAGATGTCATGGTACTAATCAGGTGAAGCAAGAGTCCCAATACTGACCCCTGGGAAACTCCACTAGAAATATTCCTCCAGCCCCAAAAGTATCCATTGACCATTAATCTCTGTTTCTTATCACTCCACCAATTTTGTTTCCATGTTTCTACTTTCCCTTTTATACCATGACCTGTAACTTTCTTCACAAGTCTGCTGAGAAGGACCACAACAAACGCTTCTGGAAATCCACGTGTACCTCATCAACAACTTTGCCCTTATCAGCTCTTTGTTACATCTTCAAACTAAAAATCGTAGCAAATTACTTGAACATAATTTCCCCTTTATTAATCCGTGCTGACATTTCCTAATCAACCCACCCTTCTACATTGGGATAGAATGAGTAGTCCCATCCCAAATAATTGTTTTTCGAAACTTCCTCACTAACTCATTTTTTTCCTTTATTAACCGGTTTTTCCAATCAACGTGTTCAGAAATGTTACCATGCACCTCTGCAGCAGGTGGGACTTGAACTCGGCACTCTTGCTTCAGGTGTAGGGACACTACCACTGCACCACACAAGGGCCCATATCAATTCCCTTTTAAATGCTGTAGTTTACTCAGTAACCTGGAACAGTACCAATTTTCTAAGCAACACCACACAAACCCAACCACTTATTGCAGCAAGCCACCCACTCAGACAACTAAGAAGCAAATGTGATATAGTTTCAAGTATTTATCGTAAAGTATATAACCGTTCATTTCATTTGAAATATTAACTGAAAATGCTGTCACATGTTTCTTGGTCGGTGTCCAGGAACCATGTAATTTCATTCATCATGGCAGCAAGTATTTGAGGAGCAGATTGTGCCTTTTTACCTTTTTATGGTTGGAGTTACCTCATCCCTACTTGGAATAACGAATCCAGCCAGATTCAGGAGGTCGCTAATCATCTGCCCCTTAATGGTAATATCCAGTGTGGAATTTGAATGTAAGCTGAGTGGAAGAGGAATAAAGATTACATTGATTCAGCAATAAAATAAATTCAATACAAAAAGGAGCAATAGGTTTGTCTACTTAAGTAAAATGAATCGTGTAAAGTATTTTAGGACTTAACAAATATGCTGAACCTTGATAAAAATAAATATTTTCTAAAAAGACAGTTCTATGGATTGCATTTTTATTGAACATTAGTTGAAAGCATTCAGCAATTTATGCTCAAATATCATTAACCTTGTGCTTTGTGCCACATTATGTATAGTAAATTGGGCCTGGGGATACTGGATCAGAATGCAGCGTGGTAGCAGTGCACATAATTATACAGCACAGATGACCACTTCACCTGACAAAGGAGCAGTGCTCCAAAAGCCTGTGATTTCAAATAAACCTGTTAGAATATAATCTGGTGTAGCGTGACTTCTGACTTTGTCCACCCCAGTCCAACAACAGCACCTCCAGATCATGGCTACATTGTCAGCACAGGGAATAATTATCCGATGAGCCCATTGTGCTGCTTTTGCCCATAGCACAGAAAATTTCTTTTTTCCAAATATGTTGTGTACCCAGAGATAGTAGGAACTGCAGATGCTGGAGAATCTGAGATAACAAGGTGTAGAGCTGGATGAACACAGCAGGCCAAGCAGCATCAGAGGAGCAGGAAAGCTGACGTTGCGAGCCTAGACCCTTCTTCAGATTTTTTCTGCTACTGAATAGTGCGGAAGGAAGGGGATGTTTGTGGATGCAGTGCCAATAAAGTGGGTTTTTGACCTGGAGAGAGTCAAGCTTCTTGGGTTTTGGTTGGAGCTGTATTCATCAAGATAAGTGGAGAGTATTCATCATATTCCCAACTTGTGTCTGTAGACGGCAGACAGGCTTTTGGGAGTCAGAAAGTTGACAGATTTTTGATGAAGGAATTCAAAAGCTACCAGAAGGAAGCAGAAATATGCAGCTGAGGCCACAACCAAGTCAGTTATCACATCATTGAAGGGACAAGTAGGCTTGAGACAACAAATGTCTTACTCCTGCTCCTAATTTATATGTACTGTGGAACTGCAAGTATTAAAAGTAATACATGACATTTTGTGATAACAAGGTGTAGAGCTTCAGCATCAGAGGAGCAGGAAAGCTGACGTTTCGGGCCTAGACCCTTCTTCTGAAGAACGTCAGCTTTCCTGCTCCTCTGATGCTGCTTGGCCTGCTGTGTTCATCCAGCTCTACACCTTGTTATCTCAGATTCTCCAGCATCTGCAGTTCCTACTATCTCTGAAACATGACATTTTGCTTCTGGTTAACTTTTCTGAGGTGTCAAATTTGTGTGACCAAGGCAATGGCTTTCAGCTTGCAGACTACATTAAGCACACCAGAAGTTCTCTTCCATTCAACCATGTGCCTTACTCTCAGTTACAGAATCATATAGCCATTTAACTTATCAAATTAGACTCCCATTCATGTCCCACAGAAGTTTTTCTTTAAAGCGAAGATTCAATTCATTTTTGAAATGTACAACGGAATTTGCTTCCATCACTCTTCCAGGCAGCAATCTATTATTGGACTTTGGCTGTCTGGACTAATAGCACAGGAACTGAGCCAGGAATGACAATTCAGTGTCAGGTTCATAGCTGTTTCTACCAGTCCTTTCGCTCAATGGGACTACTGCAGAGATGCTTGGGAATGATTGCATAAGATACACACTGGCAATACATACCAATATAGTTGGGACCACAGAGGAGCCAGACTGAATATATTTGACAATAGCAGCAGTGGGGAAAAAACAGTGCAGCTTTACTTTCATTGTAATCTGTAATACCTTTCACAAAGAAGGGGAACAGTGGATGGTGAAGTAAGGTCACTTATCTCCCCCTCCCAGCTAATTTTGTCTTTAGGTCTCAATTCCTGCAGTAGGTTTGTTATTCATGGTATGTGGGTGTCATTGGCTAGGTCAGCATTTATTGCCCATTCCTAACTGCTCACAGGGCAGTTAAGAGTCAACCACATTGCTGTGGGCCTGGAGTCACATGTAGGCCAGACCAGGTAAGGATGCCAGTTTTCTTCCCTGAAGGACATTAGTGAACCAGGTGGGTTTTTCCAACAATTGACAATGGTTTCGTGGTCATCATTAGACACCCATTTCCAGACTTTTATTGAATTTAAATTCCACCATTTGCTGTGATGGCATTCAAATTCAAGTCCTGGAATATTAGAAACATAAACAAAAATTGGTGGAAAAGCTCAGCAGGTCTGGCTGCATCTGGACAGAAATCAGAGTTAACATTTTGGGTTCAGAGACCCTTCCTGAGAACAGGTTTCGGATTTCCAGCATCCACAGCTCTTTTGGTTTCCCCAGAACATTATCTGGGTCTCTCGATTAACAGTCCAGTGATAATACCACTAGGCCATCATCTCCTTTGGAAGTCACTAGCACAGTGGTTGAGGTAAATAGCATAGATTCATTTAAGGAGAAGTGGCAAGTTAAATAATGCTGAAAGGAACAACATGGTATATTAATGGAGTGGGGACGAAGGCCTGAATTGAGCATGAACACTGATACAGACCAGTTAGGTCAAAATCACTGGCTGGCCAGAATTTTATTGCCCATCCCTAGATGCTGTTGAGCAAGTTGTGGTGAGCTGCTACCTTGAACCACTGCAGTCCATGTACCCACAATGGCCTTAGGGAAGGGAATTCCATGATTTTGACCCAGTGACAGCAAAGGGAACAGGGATATATTTCCAACTCAGGATGGCAAGTGGCTAGGAGGGAAACTTGCAGGTAGTGGATATCCCCATGCATCTGCTGCCCTGTCCTTCTACATGGAAATGGTCATAGGTTTGGAAGGTGCTGTCTGAGGATCGTTGGAGAATTTTGTAGTGCATCTTGTAGATAGTACACGCTGCTATCGAGCGTTGATGATGAATGGAGTAGATGCTTGTGGATGTGGTGCTAATCATGTGGGCTGCTTTGTCCTGGATGGTGTCAAGCTCCTACGGTGTTACTGGAACTGCACCCATCTGGGCAAGGGGGGAGTATTCCATTACACTCCTGACTTGTGCCTTGTAGATGGTGAGTCAGGAAGTGAGTTACTTGCCGCAGTATTCCTAGCTTCTGACCTGCTCTTGTAGCCACTGTGTATGTGTGACAAGTCCAGTGGAGTTTCTGGTCAATGGTAACCTCAAGGATGTTGATAGCATAGAATTTAGTGATGGTACCACCATCAAATGATTAGATTGTCTCTTATTGAAGATATTCATTGCCTGACATTTGTGTGGTGTGAATGTTACTTGCCACTTGTCAGCCCAAGTGTGGACATTGTCCAGATCTGGTTGCATTTGAACATGAACTGCTTCAGCATTTGAAGAGTTGTGAATGGTGCTGAACACTGCACAATCAATCATCGGCGAGCATCCCCACTTCTGACCTTATGACGGAGGGAAGCTCATTGATGAAGCAGCTGAAGATGTTTGGACCCAGGACTCTACCCTGAGGAAATGTCCTGGAGCTCAGATCGACTGACCTCCAATAAACATAACCATCTTCCTACATGCCAATTATGACTCCAACCAGCAGAAAGTTTGCCCCCGATACCGAATGATTCCAGTTTTGCTAGGGCTTTATATATCAGAAAGCTTCGAGTTCTCAAGAAGGGTCACTGAACCTGAACTGTTAATTGTGCATTCTCTCCACAGATACTGCCAGACTGGAGCTTTTCCTGCAACTTCGGATTTTGTTTTTGATTTCCAATACCTGCAGTTCTTTGTTTTTTTAAAAATTTCATTCACTGATTACCTCAGTTAGGGCAATCTTCCCTGCTTTGTGCCATAAGATTAAGTTATAAGTCTTTATTGCTTTAGATCTAACAGCTAATTTTTTTTTTCCTTTATTCACTAATGAAATTTGGAAGTCAAACTAGGTCAACATTTATTGTCATGCCTATAATAAACTTAGTTACTTGCTCAAGGGGTCAAATGGTCTAGTCCTGCTCCTATTTGTCATCCCTGGTGGTTGATTATTGAAATGGTTATACAGGCACCTTGGAGAGATGTTGACTTCTAGAACCCACGGCTTCAGGTTCTCATCAAGCATGATGTCAAATCCAAAGAGTTCGTGACAAGTATAACGATTCCGTACATACAAATGTATTTGGCTGTTCACGTAAGACTCAGAGCTGCAGAACAAGAGACCGATCATCAATAAATGATCAAATTTAAAAAGAAACCTCAACTTTACCTTCCAAAGAATTTGGAACTTTTCAAAAAACAAAATCCAAATTCTTATGCAAATACTTTACAATCAGACAGTCCCACTGTCTTTCTCACCCTTCCAGACAGACAGAGACTAAAAGCAATTTCCTGCCTTAAGCGTGGAAAACATCAAATGTTCCTTCTGGGGTTGATACATTTCATAGCAATCTATTTCTGCACATTCCATTGGGAAACTTTGCAATATACACAAGGGAATGAAGTGAAGGGGCTACCAATCAATTAATCATTAATCACAGTACAGAGGATTTTAGCCTTGCTGAATTCCTAATTGGTGCAATAGGGAAGCTACCATTGGTTTTATTTCCTTGGGCTAGAAAAGAGAAAAGAACAAACATGCATTCTTTAAGATCCTCACCATGTTCAAAGTAATTAAGACCTAATAACAAATGTTTGAAGTGTTATGGACAAGTCCAGAACAGAGAGCGTAACTGGAAAAAAAGGTCATTACAGATCAAAAGAAGAATTTTAGGAGGGATGTATTGACAAAGTGTGCTCAGAATGGAGAAGTGTCTGCAGAAGCTGAAATAGAAATCATTGTGTTACAATGTATAGAAGAAGAAGAAAGGGGCAGGGCGAGAAGAGGCAATTTAAGAATGAGAGGAGGTCAGTGTGAAGTATAAACATCTGCTCTGACCAGCTGAGCTGAACAGCCTGCGGCTCAACATAGCACCGATACAAATTATAATGAAAAATTTATTCATTACAAAATGGAGCCCATCCAGTGACCAGTAAATAATACAGTACAAATTATAATGCAGTTTTTAAATGCCCCTTTAAGAGTTCACCATACCATTAAATAATTACTCCTTTTGCTTGCCATGTGGCATCTTGTGCAGTCATTACAAAATACCATTTCTCACTTTCTCTTTTATTCCACAGACACCAATGCAAATTTGTCAAATAATGGAATCTATCTTTCCATTGTACTAGTCTTGCACAATCGCCAATGAAAACAAGAAAGAAATTTTAACTCCAAAACAAGATTATCTATAATTAAAGAGCCTGACAGAACTAACAGATTTTACTGTGCCAGAAAACCCCGTCAACCTTGCCCTTCCACTGATCTCGTACATACATAAACATTAAAAATACAAGATAACAGATTAAAAAAATCCACATGTAGACCCCTGGAGTCTGAAACTCTTCTGCTAAACCTGTAGGAGCTTGATATTTCTCTCTCCCCCAAAATCCTTCATTAAAAACTCACCTTTTTAACCTCGCTTAACTGCTTTCCTACTGCCTGTTTAGTATCTGATGCTCCCCTTGACTTATTATGTGCATCTATGCTGCATTACCATTGGAAGAGGAGAACAACTGCAGCATGACAAATCTACAGAGGATGATTCCATTATAAATCTAGAAACACAAGGATGATAAAAAATAAAAGTGAGCTATAAAATGGAGGGCTAAATACAGCTTTGCACCCTGATCCCAATATTTGTCAGCTCGTGATCCCACCTGAAGACGGCATTCGATTTAAGCCCTCTGGGTATAAGACCACAGATCAATTGATGGAAGGAAGTATTCTGGAGTTTAACAACAGTTACAAAAGCAATTACCAATAAGGTGTATGACTAGTTAATTTGGCCTTTATTTAGAAACACTGGCCGAAAGGGGAACATTTCCCAAGACTCAAAGCACTCTCTGCTCCTCTGAACAATATAATGGGATCTTCTCACATTTAACCAAGACATTAGGAGAGACCATCTTGATTAAAAGATAGTATTTCAAACAATACATTCTTTCAACCCTAACCTGGAGAGTTAGCCTTTACATACTTAGATCTGACAAATGCTTGACTCCGTAACCTTTCAGCTCTGAAGCACAAGTACTACCATCTAAACCAGCCAACATGACCTAAGGCAGTAAATGTATGCAAAAATTGGACTCTGGCATGGTAAAACAACCTAAAGTACTTCACAAAGTCAATCTGAATGCTAAGTTCAAGCTTTGAATAAGGATAAGTCAGGAGCTGGTGGGAAGGTACTAAATTGTGGGAGGGCAAATTACGTCAGTATTAAGCAAGAGCCAAGGAGTGTTAATTGAGAGGAGCTGTTATCAGGCAAGTCCACTTTTGACATGGGAGAATTGTTTGAAGACCTGCTGATGAAAGTTCAGGACCAGCATGGCAAGGTAAGGGACCTTTGGATAACGAGAGAAGTTGTGAATTTAGTCGAAAGGGAAAAACGAAGCATATATAACACATGGGAAGTTAAAATCAGACAGGGCCCATGGGGAATATAAAGAAAGCAGGAAAGATCTCAAGCCCGGAATTAGGAGAGCAAGAAGAAACCATGAAATGACTTTGGCAAGTCTGTTAAAAAGAATTTCAAGGCATTCTATAGATACACTAAAAACAAGAAGATAACTAGATAGAAGGTAGGACCACTTAAGATAACAGAAGGAACTTGTGCTTGGAGGCAGAGGATGTGGGCAAGATCCTAAATGAGTACTTTGCATTGGGGCATAGTGAGATTAGTATCCAGCATGCGAATATGCTAGGGCATTTTGAGATCAAGAAATAAGTGGTGTTGGGGTCTTCTGCAGAGCATTAAGGTGGATAAGTCCCAAAGACCCGATGGTATCTACCCAGTTATCGAGAGAGGCAAAAGGGGAGATTGCTCGGCCTTGGCTAAGATCTTTGCATCCTCGCTAGCCACTGGAAAAGTCCCGGAGGACTGGCAAGTAGCTAATGTTGTTCCTCTGTTCAAGAGGAGAAATAGGGATAATCCAGGAAACTACAGACCAGTGAGTCTCTCATCAGTGGTTCTTGAAGCTACTGGAGAGAATTCTTAGGGAAAGGATTTATGTGCATTTAGAAAAGCCGTGGATGTTGTCTACATGGATTTTAGTAATGCTTTTGACAAGGTGCCTCTTGGTAGGTCATCCAGAAGATTAAGATGCATAGGATCCACGGTGACTTGGCCACTTGGATTCAGAATTGGCTTGTCCACAGAAGGCAGAGGGTAATGGTGGAAGGGTGTTTTTCTGGTCCGTGGCTACTGGTGTTCGGCAGGGATCCACATTGGGACGTCTGCTGTTTGTGATATATATATATGACTTGGATGAATATACATGGGTTGGTTAGTAGGTTTGTAGGTGATACAAAGATAGTTGGAGCTGTGGATAGTTGAAGGTTGTCAAAGGATACAGCAGGATATAGATCAGTTGCATTTATGGACGGAGAACAAACGTAGACAGACAGCACAGGAACAGGACCTTCGGCTCTCTGAGCCTGTGCCGACCATCATGCCCTAAAAACAAACCTGCCATTTTTCGATCCGTATCCCTCTATCCCCTTCCTATTCATGTACCCATCTAGGTGTCTCTTAAATGTCTTCAATGGTGAAGAGAAAGGGCAGACTGAGTTTAATCCAGGTGAGTGTGACGTGCTGCACTTCGCAGTTGGGGGAGAAATTTTAACCCGAGTCTTCTCAACGTTTAATTTGATAAAAATGCACCTTTTGAAGAAAAAAGAACATCTAACATAAAAGCCCTCCTCCTCACTACATACCTAACATGCAAAGTGCTAACTTTATTTAAGAATGACAGGAGAACTGAATTTGCAATCTGTAATTCTTGAAGTTTACAGTTATTCTCCATAAAGATCCTTCTCATTACTCACGCAATTATGGTTTTGATGATCACATCCTTTATTTGTTCCCACAACAGGTCAGTCCTCACTGCCTTCTGACTCAGGTACGCCCACAATGCCTTAAGGCTCCTACAGTTTGAAGCACAGGGAAATATCAACTCAGACCATGAAATGAACCACAAAGCTTTTGATCTGTATACCCCAGGAATAATACTGGTGTGTTTTGAAAAGATCTGTAGATTGCAAAAAAGGGAGACAAGGAGATTTGAATGCTGCCTCAATTTCAGCAGAATGAAAATACAGGAAAGGATATTGTGCAGAGCAGTGAGGAAAACAAAGAAAATTCATAGGTACACAATCTTAGCATTAATAATAGATGAAGAAATACTGAGGTGGTGGGGGGGGAGATGCCACAAACCTGCAAAGAGTCAGCAGCACAAAACCTAATTAAGAAACTCTTGGCATTAACACACAATGGAGTTGTTGGTACATACACCATCATACTTCGAATACACCAGCTTTTCCTAGGCATAGCCAATAAGCTCAGATTTAAGATAGATCCCCAGGACACCTACACTCTTACCATTTATGACCTTGACAGAGCTTTCCATTGCTGTTGGGCTTGTACTCAGCATTTAGTTTATTCACACTGTAGTTTGTAAGGTGCATAAACTTGTTGCCAAGGCTCTTCATGGAAGACGAATACCTGGGCAGAACAAAAAATAATATTACCCACAATCAGTGCAGAGGGGCCGACAGTTAAAATATCAGAGGCAAATACCAAAGAGTATTATTCAATCAATACGGCACTGATATTATAGTACTGACTGCTTTGAACTGGATGCGCAGAGTGTTGTTGAGACTGGGATCATCCAGACAAATGGACAGTATTCCACCAACCATCATAATGCATGGGTGGGGTTTTGGTCATCTTTGTTAACAAAGGGTGTAAGCCTAATGGAGACTGTTCAGAGGAGGTTTATTAGATTGATATCTAGAATGAGCAAGTTTTCTTAGAGGACAGGTTGGATAGATATAGATTATTTTTGGAGTTTAAAAGAGTGACCTAATTAATGTGTCGAAGACATTTAGGCTCTTAGGATGATTCCTTTTGTGAGAAAGTGCCAAACTACAAGAGAAGACAGTTTCACAAGTCAGAGATCATCATTTTACGACAGCGTTGAGTGAAATTTTATTTTTAAGGTTGAGGTAGATTGATTCTTTGTCAAACAAAAATCTAAAGGTTATCTGGGATTAGATAGATGTGCAGAATTCAAGAAGTTAACAGATCAGCCACGATCTTGAATGGCAACAATGAGGTGGAGTTGCTGATGTTGGAACGGGTGGACAAGGTCAAAAATCTCACGACACCAGGTTATAGTCCAACAGGTTTATTTAAAAACACAAGCTTTCGGAGCCTTACTCCTGCTTCAGGTGTTAGCGGGAGGTAGTACCAAACACAGAATTTATAAGTAAAAGATCAAAGGGTTACACCATTGATGAGGGTGTACTAAAAAAACATAAGATGCTGTTAAATCTTTAATCACTTAGAAGGTTTTAATTGATTAATATGTAAATTCCTGAATTCCACTGTCCTGTGAGAACTAAAGGTTTTATCAGTGTAAAGAAGAGGTGACATTTTAGGTCAGACAATGCAAGTTAGGTGTGAGGCCTTGATTAGAATCAGATTGTGTTTTGGTTTGGAGTTAGAGACTGGTTTTATTTCTAAAGGAGGAATTTCCAAATGCTACATTTGACTGACTGTCTATAAATTGTGTGCTTTTTGAACAAAATAGAATGTATCTGCAAATACAAATACACCACAGATTCGCATGCAGCGCCTGAGAGGAGAAGGAGAGGGGAAAGTGGGGGGAAAGGGAAGGAGAATACGCATGTATGAGAGGGAGACAAAGACACCGAGAAAGAGCGATAATGTATTGAAGGCTGTGAAGAACATGGCGTAGTTTCTCCACTCCTGGAAAGTACATTATCGATGACGACGAACACCTCGCCAAGATCTCCCCCATGCCTCCACTTCTCACCTTCAAAACAACCGCCAAACCTTAAACAGACCATTGTTCGCAGCAAACTGCCCAGCCTTCAGGACAACATCGACCACAACACTATACATCCATGTCACGGCAACCTCTGCAAGACATGTCAGATCTTCGACATGGACATTACCGTCACACATGGGAACACCACATGCACGGCAGATACGCATGCGACTCGGCCAATACTGTCCATCTCATATGCTGTAGGCAAAGATGCCCCAAAGCCTGGTATATTGGCAGAACCATGCAGATGCTATGACAATGGATGAATGGACACCGTGCAACAATCACCAGACAGGGGCGTTCCCTCCCAGTGGGGAAGCACTTCAGCAGTCAAGGAAATTCGGCCTCGGATCTTCGGGTAAATGTCCTTCAAGATGGACCTCAGGATACACAACAACGCAAAGTCGCCGAGCAGAGGCTGATAGCCAAGTTCAGTACCCATGAGAATGGCATTAATCGGGATCGTGGGTTCATGTCGCACTACAGGTGACCTCACCACACTATACACTCGCGCACGCACAGATCCTCTCTCAAGCACGCGCGCACACATGAATCTATGGGGTGTTTTGCAGATACATTCTATTTTGTTCAAAAAGCACATAATTGACAGATTGACTGACTGACTATGTGGCATTTTGTAAATTCCTACTTTAGAAATAAAACCAGTCAGACTCCAAAACCAAAACACAAACAGATTCTAAATAAGACCTCACACCTAACATGCATTATCTGACCTAAAATGTCACCTCTTCCTTACACTGATAAAACCTTTAGTTCTCACAGGACAGTGATTGGAAAGGAATTCAGGGATTTACATATACATATTACTCAATTAAAACCTTCTAACTGATTAAAGATTTAACAGCATCTTAGTTTTGTTTAGCACACCCTCATCACTGATGTGACCCTTTGATCTTTTACTTATAAATTCTGTGTCTGATACTACCTCTCTCACTAACACCCGAAGCAAGAGTAAGGCTCCGAAAGCTTGTGTTTTCAAATAAACCTGTTGGACTATAACCCGGTGTCGTGTGATTTCTGACCGTGAACGGGAAAGCAGATCTGAAGGGCTCAACGTGCTATTTCTGCTCCTAATTTTTAGATGTTCAAATAAGAACAAGATGGTGAATTAAAATGACAAGCAAGTGGAACCTCAGACTCGTGCTTACGGACACTTTGGAAATGTTCCATGTACCACTCAACGTGCATTTGGTCTCCCTAGTGCAGAAGGGGCTGCATCATGAATAGGTAGTGCAGTATACTAAAAGTAGAGGTAAATCATTGAAATGGTTAAAACTCCCGTCTGTGCTTTAGCTATTTGATGCAACCGGCCGACAAGAGATTATTGTACTATCCCAGGAACAACTTTCAATAATTAGCATTACTGTTCTAAGCTAATAGCTAGATAGCATTAAGAATTTAAAATATTTTCTATAACTTCAACTTAACAATAACAATGCCTGTGAGAAAAGGCGATGAGCAGTGCTTCAGACAAGACCAATTACATCACAAGCCCCACCAGATAAATTAAAAGTAAGCGATTATCTATTTCCACCCTCTAACCTTGCTCTTTTCGAACTTACTTGCAGCTTGCAAAACGGACCAAGCCGTCTGTAAACACATAGATCCGAAGAGGATCATAAGAGGTCACGTACACGTAAATTCTCAAATCAAACTTGCTCTCGCCAATGAGGTAGGGTTTGTGCAAGTATCTAGAGTTAAGAAAATAAAGTGGAATTTACAACAATTTATTGAAAAGCAAAATAAGACAACATTATTGGTGATGTCAACACTTTGCAAAGATAGCCAACAGATCATGCGTAAAGACAAGTCTCCTGGTCCTGATGGAATGCATCCCGGGGTACTAAAAGAGATGGCAGGAAAAATAGCAAATGCGTTGCGGTCATTTTCCAAAATTCACTGGACTCTGGGGCAGTTCCAACAGATTGGAAAACAGCAAATGGGACGCCACTGTTTAAAAAAGGGAGACAAACGATGGAGTATTATAGGCCGGTTAGCTTAATTTCTGTAATGGAGAAAATGCTTGAATCTAACATCAAGGAAGAAATAGCAAGACATCTAAGATAGAAACTGTCCCACTGGGCAGACACAGTATGAGTTCATGAAGGGCAGGTCACGTTTAACTAATTTACCGGAATTCAATGAAGACGTTAACGAGCCCGGTGGACAACAGGGACCCAGTAGATGCGGTGTATCTAGATTTACAAAAGGCATTCGACAAGGTGCTGCACAAAAGACTGCTGCATAAGAGAAAGGTGCACTGCATAACTAGCAATGTATTAGCAAGGGTAGAGGATTGGTTAACTAACGGGAAGCAAAGAATGGGGATAAATGCGTGCTTTTCTGGTTGGCGATCAGCGAAAAGTGGTGTGCCTCAGGGATCAGTGCTGGGACCGCAACTGATTACAATTTATACATGATGTGGAGTTGGAGTTGTGTCAAAGTTTGTGGATGACATCAAGATGAGTGGTAGAGCAACGTGTGCAGAGGGAAATGTCAGGCATTTACAATTTAGAAGGCTTTTGATAAGGTCTCACAATAAGTTAGTAAATAAAATTAAAGCACATGGGATTGGGGGAATATACTGGTATGAATTGAGAATTAGTTAACAGGCAGAAAGCAGAGAGTAGGAATAAGCAGCTCACTCTCATGGCAGGCTGTTACTAGTGGGGCACTGCAGAGGTCCAAAGCTGTTCACAACCTTAAACAATTTGGACGTGGGAGTAATTCCAATATTTCCAAATCTGCTGACGACACAAAACTGGGTAGGAATGCAACTTATGAGGTGGGTGCAAGGAGGTTTCAAGAGGAGTTTGGGCTTAGTGAATGGGCTAGAGCATGACAGATGGAATATCATGCAAGTAAGGAGGGAGATTGTGAAATGCTGATATCCAAAAGAATTTAGATGCCCTTTTCTCAAGTCACTAAAAACTAGTCTGTAGATGCAGCAAGGAAAATGGTATTTTCACATTCATTTCAAGGGGATTTAAGTATGGGATAAAGACTCTTGCTGTAGTTGTATAAAGCCTTGGTGAGTCACACCTGAAATAGTGTGAACAGTTTGTGTCCCCATTTCAAAATAAGGATATACTTGACATGGAGGTTCACCAGATTGATCTCTGGGATGGCGGGCTTGTCTAATAAGGAGATTGTTGAAACTGGGTCAGTATTCTCTAGAGTTGTGAACTATGAAAGGTGATCTCACTGAAGCTTAAAAAATTCTTACAGAACATGACAAAGTGAATATAGATAGGCAATTCTAGAACCAGGGGACATAATCTCAGGATAACAGGTAGACCATTTGATCCTGAGATAAAAAGGAATTTCTTCACTCAGAGGGTGATGAATGTTTGGAATTGTCTATCCCAGAGGGCTGTGGAAATTCAATCACTAAGAAGATTCGTGACAGAAATAAATAGGGTTTCTGGAGACTAATACATTAGGGGATATGGAGATAATGCAGGAAAATGGCATTTATATGGAGGCAATCAGCCATGATCCAGAATGGCAGGCCAGTCTTGATGGGCTGATTGTAGGAACAGAAGTAGGCCATTCTCCAAATGGGTCCTGACCAAGTAAGTTTCTGTATAACTGAGGCAAAGATCCTATCAACTTTGTACTTCAACCTGGTCAAGGTAAAAGTCAACAGTCAATTAACCATTTTGCTACAAGCTCAGGCACATGGGCAGTCAAATACCTCTGCTCTTCCAAAGATCCTTACAATGTCTCAACATTCACAGCCCATTTAATTTTCTCAGATTTGAAATGGTGGCCTTCACCCTTGCACACAATGAATTCCAGCTGCCATAGATAACTTGCAAGTTCTTGCTATCTACACAACCTAACAGGCCTCCCATCATAGTGCAATCTTCAAATCTGGAGATACAACATCCCGAATCATCTAAAGTCTTCAATACATGAAATGCTGATACCTCGGTATGGATCTGTAGGGGAGCACTACTTGTGATATCCCAGCAGAGAACATTCCTTTTATTCCTGCTTTCTATCTCCAAACTAACTTCCAAGCAATATCACAAGATTAACACCAATTCCAGGTCTCTTATTTTTGCTGATCATCCCTAGTGCAAAACTCTTATCAAATGACTGAATGTCTACACAGACAACATCCATAGTGAACTGTGGCTTTCTCTACAAAACCACGGAAACTTTCTCATAAGTTAACATACCATCCAAGTGGTCATCCCTCTGTTCATGACGACAGATTCCAGCAACTTTTCAAAAACTCATGATAAACTCACAGCCTAAGAGTTGCCTCTTTAGAGAGTTTGCAGTTTTCCCAGTCAAAAGCAATAGTGAAATTGAGAGCGCTCTGCAGGTCAAGGGCTATTATTTCCATCTGTCCTCTGCCAATTTTCCTTCCCTCTGCTTATACTTATATTTTTCCAGGTACAAAAATCTCCACCTCCCAAAACTTTCCCTTACTCCTACAAATGATAAACATTTAGATCTGTATAAACTCACATCTACATGTTTTATCTTATCAAACATATAAAATATACACTTCCTAACAGAAATAAATTCATACTTCTGAACCAGCAGAGGTCGTTTCTTCGGGATTTGATTCCACCTGTGAATTACTTGAATGCCAATTCCTCTGGCAGATGCAGGCTATACAAAAAACACAACAGAAGGAAAAAATTAAGTATGCAGATGTTTAATATTTTTTCCTCTTGTAACAAAAATGTAATTACCATTTGTAAAACAGGGATACTTTCATTTATCCAGTGCGATTGCGGTCTTGAGTACTGCATGAACATTAGCATTAAGACACAGATCTGGTCACAACTTTGCACAAGTCTTCTTGGTCATAAAGCAAAAGAGATCATGTAGCAAAATCTAAGAACAATAATGGCACTGCCAAATCTGAAACTCTATTATTGACTCGGACATTCCTAAAGTCTCTGCTCTGACCCTTGACAATTTCTCACATTGCGTAAAATGGAATGAGATGAACATATGGAACAGTGTGACGGGAAACTATTTGTTCGATACAATAAAGGGAAATGGTAGGACTCACTTCACCCCAACTTGTCGAGAGAACACACTTACGTGCACACATAATGTAAATTTAGCTTATGCTAATTCTAAGTGCAGTCCCCAGTCACTGCATTTATTGCAATTCCCAGAAACGTTCATTTGAAACAAGGTGTCAGATATCAGGCTCCCAAAGCAGGTTTTTCTGCTACCTCAGTCAGAGAAGAGCACATCCCAGGTCAATGGAAAAAAAATATTTCAAGGATGTATTGAAGGACAACATGAGAAAATGCAACTGTGACATCAAAGCATGGATAGAGGCAGAGTCTGTGGAAGGATTTCACCATTTTGAGACCCAACAGTGACAAATGTACAGGAAAAGGACAAGGCATGACTCAAAATAACACATGATTGGACATCTCACATGATAATAAAAGCCCAAGTGCCGCTTCAACTCTCAGATTAGATTAATTGGCTATTCTCACTCATGGAAGACAAATCACTTGCAAAGAATAGCTAATAATAACAGTACATTGAACCAGAGTTAGACTGTGAAGTGTTATGCAGAAGAAAGTGGATATATATTCTGCCTCTGAATGTCAATTTTCAAGCTGTCAGGGCTCAGTGCTCTCACACTGAGCTCAATCTTTACCACCTCACACTGGTGAAGTGCAACCTAGGAGCGATCTCCTATAGTTCCTCCCAACAATGCATGACATGAAATTACTTCACAAAAGAATTCTTCCATGGGACACAAGTATCACTGGCAAGACACCCTAGTTGTTCTCAATAACTGACCTTTTTCCTGGAAGATATGGACCTAAAGAGGGAGAAGGGGAAACGCTTGGAACAATCTTCGAAATGAACTGGTGACAAACTAAAATAAAGCTCTGTTTCTGTCCATACTGCTTTGATTGGTCAGTGAGTTATCCAACACACGTAATAGTGCCAGAAGACTGGAGACTAGCAAATGTTGTCCCCTTGTTCAAGAAGGGGAGTAGAGACAACCCTGGTAATTATAGACCAGTGAGCCTTACTTCGGTTGTGGGTAAAGTGTTGGAAAGGATTATAAGAGATAGGATTTATAATCATCTAGAAAGGAATAATTTGATTAGGGATAGTCAACACGGTTTTGTGAAGGGTAGGTCGTGCCTCACAAACCTTATTGAGTTCTTCGAGAAGGTGACCAAACAGGTGGATGAGGGTAAAGCGGTTGATGTGGTGTATATGGATTTCAGTAAAGCGTTTGATAAGGTTCCCCATGGTAGGCTATTGCAGAAAATACGGAGGCATGGGATTGAGGGTGATTTAGCGGTTTGGATCAGAAATTGGCTAGCTGTAAGAAGACAGAGGGTGGTGGTTGATGGGAAATGTTCATCCTGGAGTTCAGTTACTAGTGGTGTACCTCAAGGATCTGTTTTGGGGCACTGCTGTTTGTCATTTTTATAAATGACCTGGATGAGAGCGTAGAAGGATGGGTTAGTAAATTTGCGGATGACACCAAAGCTGGTGGAGTTGTGGATAGTGCGGAAGGATGTTGCAGGTTACAGAGGGACATAGATAAGCTGCAGAGCTGGGCTGAGAGGTGGCAAATGGAGTTTAATGCAGAAAAGTGTGAGGTGATTCACTTTGGAAGGAGTAACAGGAATACAGAGTACTGGGCTAATGGCAAGATTCTTGGTAGTGTGGATGAGCAGAAAGATCTCGGTGTCCATGTGCATAGATCACTGAAAGTTGCCACCCAGGTTGATAGCGTTGTTAAGAAGGCGTACAGTATGTTAGGTTTTATTGGTAGAGGGATTGAGTTTCGGAGCCATGAGGTCATGTTGCAGCTGTACAAAACTCTGGTGCGGCCGCAATTGGAGTATTGCGTACAGTTCTGGTCACCGCATTATAGGAAGGATGTGGAAGCATTGGAAAGGGTGCAGAGGAGATTTACCAGGATGTTGCCTGCTATGGAGGGAAGGTCTTATGAGGAAAGGCTGAGGGACTTGAGGCTGTTTTCAGAGAAGGTTAAGAGGTGACTTAATAGAGACATACAAGATGATCAGAGGATTAGATAGGGTGGACAGTGGGAGCCTTTTTCCTCGGATGGTGATGGCCAGCACGAGGGGACATAGCTTTAAATTGAGGGGTGATAGATATAGGACAGATGTCAGAGGTAGGTTCTTTACTCAGAGAGTAGTAAGGGCGTGGAATGCCTTGCCTGCAAAAATAGTTGACTCGCCAACTTTAAGGGCATTTAAATGGTCATTGGATAAACATATGGATGATAATGGAATAGTTTAGGTTAGATGGGCTTCAGATTGGTTTCACAGGTCGGCGCAACATCGAGGGCCGAAGGGCCTGTACTGCGCTGTAATGTTCTATGTTCTATGTTCTAGGAGCATATGCAAGTCTGGAGCGCATGACACATGTGCAGCTACCAATGGTAGGTGTGTCACTGTCCACATACAAAATTAGAGTTCGTACGTGTGCAGCATTGTGGATTTTTTAAAAACAATTACGAAGGCAGCTTTCTTCTAAAAGCAGTGGTGCACATCCATGGCCTTTCACTTGCTTAGTTTACTTCGAGCTTATCTTCTCAAGAAAGGTTGAACCTTGAAGTTTAGAAGAATGAAGGGTAAATCTTATTGAAACATAAAACCCTAAAGAGACTTGATGGGGTGCATGCCCAGAGGATGTTTCCTATTGTGGGGAGAGGCAAAAGCCAAAAGCCATTGTTTAAGTATTGGCGATCATTCTTTTATGACAGAAGCGAGGAGAAGTTCAGTCTCTCAGAAGGTCAGGTGGAGGGTGGAATTTTCTTCCTCAGGTGTGGAGCCAGGTCTTTAAAGTTTATTCAAGGCTGATTTTGATTTTTGATTGGACAAGCAAGTCAACAGTTATGGGGTGCAAACAAGAAAAAGTGAACCGAGACATCACCCAAGTGATTTGGTGGAAGAGTAGACTTGAAGGGTCAACGACCTACTCTTGCTCTTATGCTTCCTCTCACCTCCCTCTGATGGGAAGTAGTAGCTGGGAGATAGGTATGATGAGCATTATCTAAAAGTCGACTCAGCAAAACAGCCAGATTGGTCAGCAGTCCTGCACTGGTCACAATCAGCAGCTGGACTGCTGAAACCCTAACTAACCCAGGAAGGTACAGCGCTCCTTTCTACAACACTAAGGAACAAAGCAATGATCATACTAACAGCAAAATACTCTGGATGCTGGAATTCTGGAACAGATGCAGCAAATGCTGGATACATCTATAGCGAAAGAAACAGTAAACACTTCATGTCCAGCATGACTCTTCGAAAGATGTACGACTCAGTGCCATGTATTCATCATGGTGGGCTCAAAGCTCTGGTAACAGTTTCTCTTTCCACAGATTTGACCAGACCTGCTGAATTCCTGCTGCATCTTGTCTGCTTGCTAAAGCAATATTCTATTTTGAGGCAGCACTGGTCTGCGTTTATAGTTCAGACGTAACTGATCTGACCAAATTTTAATTAGATCCTTCTGAAAACGTCATCCAAGGAATTGCTGCACTGGGGACGGTTGGCATGAGCACAAGTAACATGTCAAAGGTCAGTATGAGTATGTAGTAAGATAGGAACACAAGAGGGATGACGTGGAAGGAGAGGGTGACAGGGTAATGGCATCAAAACAAAGGAATGGCAAGGGATGTCTTCATATTGCATTTTCCAGAGTGAGATATTTTGCTTCACAGTCTTTGTGAAAGAACCTAAAACCCTCCACGCAAATTAGTAACATGGCAATATATTTCAACTCAAGTATTTTCTGCTGTCACGCAGTTATGAACACTACTGCTCAATATAAATTACAGAAATCCTTGATGATACATATTTTAGCAGCCCTCAGACTAAACTTCGAATTACTAACCCTCCGTCAACCATGGCTTATAAGGTAGAACCCACTTCCACATTGGAAGCCTACAGGAGAAAGCTTTACTTAAAAGACTTGAGCACAAATCATGGCCTTACCAACAAAGCTCACACTCCATGACTGTACAAAGTAATTTTCAAATATCTAAATAACTGGGACATCCCGAGGTCATGAAAGGTAAAGTATAAACAGAAGACTTTTTTAAAATTAGCATTAATTTTTCAAGTCATCAAAAGCCAAATTTTGCTCATTTCTCTTCTTAGGCAAACCCTTGAGACCTTGAACAACAATTTTCTAATCTGGAATAAATGGGTCCTAAGGTGACTAAACAGTCCAATTCTGGATGTGCAACAAACACAAAGCTGGAGAAACTCAGGTCTGGCAGCATCATGGAGAAAGAAACAGAATTAACACCGAGCCTGTTATGACTTTTCTTCACAACTGTGCAAATCCTGCCACAGGTGTGGGTGGACAGGGTGTCCAGGTTTTCACATGCTCCTTTGGCTGATCACACCTGGTCTCCATCTTGAATGTCAGAGACAACTGAAGTTTTCTGCACTTCTGTAGATGCTTCTTCTCCAGTCTGGGGTGGTCTTGGCCAAGAGATTCTCTCAAATCAGTGTGGATAGTGCTATTTACCAATTAGACTACTTCTCAGAACTACACAGCAGAAGAGGTACTTCAGCTCAGCATCGCTCTGTCGGTTCTTTGTAATGGTTATCCCAATTAGTCCCACTTACCCACTCTGCTCCCCAGAGCCATAACGTTTATCCCTTTTCAAGTATATATCCAATTCCTTCCTAAAAATTACACTGAATCTGCTTTCACAAAAACTTTCAGGCAGTGCATCATCATAAATCTCTGCACAAGATAAAAATGTTCAACTCTTCTCAGGTTGTTTTCCAATTATCTTAAAGCTTAGACTTAACTTACTGGTTTAATGATCCATTTCTGCTTGCCAGAGCTAGCCCCCCAGGCATTCTTCAGCAGTTTGATGTCATGAGGAAGAATGAAGGACTGTGGGAAAAAGTTGAACTCTCTTTTCCCAAATCGCACCTGCATTCTCAATAAGTTACGCCACAAGCGGTCCTTGCGCCCAATTTGAAAAGATCCTGGAAAATGATTCAGCTAGGAAGGAGAACAAACATGCAGTTAGATTGTTTTTTCCCTTCAAAATGCTCCAGCATTTTACGTTGTTTACCCAATTTGAGAAGAGAAATACAAAATACAAACTATCACCACACTGGAAAACAATTTCAGAGATTAAAATTTTAAAAGTAGTGTAATTTAGCAACTGCTAAGTGAACAATTTATATAGCATTTATAAAGGCAATAAATTGTCCAGAATGGTTCTGAAATTGTTCAGAAGTGTAATGAAACAAACAAAAAGTGCTGAGCCAAGAGAAGGTATCAGGATGGACAACTAAACATTTGGTCAGAGATCAGTTTTATGATGGTTGTAGGAAGAGAGGTGTTGGGAGATAATTTCAGAAATTTGTACCTAGACAGCTGAAAAAACGCAGGCACAAAAGGCAAGTTCAAAAGGGAGGATGCTGCGCAGTTCAAGACAGAGCAACCAGCAATGAGCAATCAATGCTGGCCCAGCCAGTGATTCCCACATCCCATGAATGAATAAAGTTGTAGTAACACAGGTCTCTGATTGATGCTGATTTCAAGTCATGTAAATAGCATACATTTCAACACAGGGAAGGTACTGTATAAAGGTAATTTGATGCTAAAACTGGACTTAGTCACTCGAAAAGACAATGCTTTGACTCAACAGTCTCCATTTTAGGGCAGAAGAACAGTAGGCATCAACAGTGGCCGAAAAGAATTAAGTGATGATTAAAATGTGCATACAGGGCTCAGGGAAAATACTGAGTGTGGCTTTCAAATTCTGAAGGGATACCCTCCTTATCAGCTTTGGTTCTAGGAACTCTAAGTAGGACAGATAATTGCAACAACAAATACTAGCACTAGTTTAATATTTCAATAAAAATAGAATAAACACTAGCATTGAAAGGGGGAGGGCATAGTAATGCTAATATTTTGAAATTCTAACTGCTTACCTTTTGATATTCCCGAAGGGTTTTGAATAGCGGTGATTTCATGTGATGGCCCCAGCAGCCCAGCCAATCATAACATCCTGAAATGTATAAACACATCAATTTTCCACTTTAAGGCAATTTTTACATGCCTGTTTTTGATTTTTCAGTAGGCAAAGCCTCTATCTAATACCTTATCCCAGTGGCCATGTCTCATGTTTAAACCTATACAGTGAGTGCTTGCAATTTAGCCTGCGAAGAAGTGTTATAGGCAAGTACAGTAGAATTTATACTCAACAACCATACATTTTTACTTGGGAGGAGGCACTGTAAACTATATTTTCCTCTTCCTCGTTTGAAACGGTGAGAAATATTTATCTCCGTTCCAATCAGCTAACTGGGACATTCAGTCAACAGGGTGTAGTAACACTGATGGGCACTGACTAGTGAACTTTCAGATGTTCAAGATCAGTGCAACTAAGTATTAACATTCACGTTCTTCAGGTTGACTTAGTATTGCTGGGTCATTGGCTGCTGGTTATTTCAGTAACTTAAATTTTATTTTTATGATATGGGATCAAGGTGTTTTCAGGACTGCATCCCAATATCTGGCGTGTTTCTACCTGAAAACAGTGCTTTTCCCTATAATAACCACTGGTCTATTAGCCTATTAAACCCAATCACATTTGTTAGATTTGACAGTCTTAAGTTGCTGTTTTGAGACTTTAACCGTTATATTGAGAAACCACAGTCGAAGTTTCTTAATTTTTCACGAAACCCACAATCCAGCGATAATTGCACAATTAGTGTCAAAGTTTAAAAGTGGAAGTAAAAGGTTAAGATACGCTTATTAGTACTAACATGACTTACTTTTAGTAATTTTGAAATGGGATCTGGCAATGGCATTTTTCACAACTATTGGTGTTACAGTGGACATTTTCCATTTCATCTGCCTTCGTTGATCCCACGGCAAAAGTTCAACTGTGAATACCAAAGTCAAAGTCAGTCACTCAGTAAAGAAAACAAAAATTATACTGCGATCCTATTGTGAAAGATGCAAAGAGAAAAATGATTATTTTATAGGCCCTAAGCTCAAGATTTTTAACAGCAAAGGAAGTCCAATTGTTTCAGACAATAAGTAGTGAGTCATACAGATTAGGAAAGATTTAGGTTTGATCCCAGTTTTGTGATGAGTTACTGTAATGCACACATGGTCTCAGCATCACTTGGTTAAGGAGGATTCCTATTTTGATTGTTATCTAGTAATTCTTGTCAGAAGTACAAATATATGGTCATTGTATAGGAATGGGAGTCACCATTCAGTCTCTTGAGCTCTTCCAACGATGCAATTAGATCATATCTGATCTTGTTCCTCAAATTAATTTGCTACTTTTGCCCTATTTTCTTAAGATCCTCCAGCTTAGCTGTGATCAGCTTAAGGGGAAGTATTTTGCTCATTTCTCCGTATGTCTTCATGCTTGCCTCCTATTTTCAATTTCAAGCCATTTATCATTTTCACTCCCTCCTTGATCCTAAATCTTCTAATCATCTAACAGCTTCCTCAGCAAGTTTTCATTCCTTAGCATACAGCCAATCCAATCTTACGGCCTTTTCTTCATTCACCAATGAAGCTGCCTTTTCCACTACCTTGAAAACTCATTGGTCATGTTCTCTACATACAACAATATACACCAAATCACTGTCTTGATAAGACCTCTACTCATTTCTATGCTAAGCAATTCTTCATGTATTACACAGCTGACAGTGATAAAACAAAACAGACAAATAGATTGGCTTTGATGATTTATTTCAAAGTTCTAACACTTGTCAATGACTGCTACAAACTGAATATTCAAAGTTCCTGCTCTCGCATACTACATGCACAGTTCAATGCTGAATTGCTTAAGTACCCTCCATGGATACTAAGAATAAAGTAAGTGTTTTGCAGAACCCACAAGAAAACCTGGGCAGCTGTGCAATGACTTTACAGAGAAAAATATTGCTCAGATTTGTTTTGAATTATAAATGCAAACCAAAACATCCCTAGTGCTTACTCTGATGATGCAACTTAGTACACAATTCTCCACAATCCAATGTTAATACCTTGGAGAGCAGAAGGAAAACAAACAATTCCTCCCATACACATTTGTAGTTTACGTACTTTTGGCTTGTGTCAGTTAGAATTGCTGTACCAGAAGATGCAAGTGACCTCAAGGATTCCTACTCCTATCAGGAAATCCCACTAGAAAGTACAGTTTGATATTTTTGTATTTGAATAATTGGAAGGGATGTTTCCCAGGCACTCCAGAGGTGGCCACGCCCCTTAGGAGAAAGTCCTCTGATTTGATCAGTGGTCAGAAGCAGGAGAGTGCGACTGCAAGTGAAGCAGGTAAGGGAATACAGAGGGCAGCAGCACAGGAGTACTGGCCTTTGCAATTGTCCAAGAGATCTGGGAACTTCACAACCTGCTTGGATGAGAGTGAGGGCTACAGTAGTACAGAAAACTATTCAAGAGCAGGGAGCAAAACACATTGTAGTGATAGCAGGATAGCTGGGTGACGAGAACTGACACTGTTCTCTGCAACTAAGACAAAACGTCCAGGCGGCTATGTTGTTTCTCCAGTGCCAGGATTTGGAATATCTGAACTGGGGTTGAAGAAGAAATTGCCTCAAGTTGGGAGAATTCAGTGGTTATGGTTCACGTTGATTCAAACAACATAGGTAGAACTAGTAATGAGGTTCTGTTGAAGGAGCAGAAGCTAGGTTCTAAAACAAAACATCAAAAGTAAAAGAAAATCTCTGGATTACTACCTGAGCCATATGCAAATTGGCACTGAACAAGTAGGATTAGGGAAACAAACGTGTGGTTCAAAGCCCAGCGTGGGAGAAGTAGGTTCCAGTTCGTGGGGCACTGGCCCCACAATGAGGATTTTTCACAATTTCATTAAGTAAAACTAAAACATTTCCACAAAACACAATGAAACAAATTTCATTACTTCCTTCAAGCAAAAAAAAACTCTCCTGTGTCTTGTTCATTCCCTTATTGCTCTGGCCAGCCACGTACCCCAATGTATGGACCCCCTCCATAAATTCTTTTCACTGCTCCTCAAACCAGGATACAAGTTTGTCTCTTTTCTTGCCTAAAGAAAATCCATCTTTTCTCCCCACCATCATTATCAAATGTGCTGTCTACTTCTTTTACACATTAATAGAATGGTCAGATCAGAAATCCAGACAACTTTAATGTTTAAAAAATATGAATTTTAAAAACATATAAAAAAAGTGACTATAAAGTTTTAAATTGAGCGAGCCCGGCTTACTAACATCTTTTCAATGGATGAAATAGGCTGTTTTGCCGAAGGGTAACTCCAATACCAAACCTCCTGTTGGATGCCCCAACAAAAAAATAATACAGCAACTGTGGGATGACCTTTACAACACAGACCGCAATGATTCAAAAAAGGCAGACCAGCAGTATCACTTTTCCAAGTGCAACCGGTGGGGGGTGCAAAATGCAATGAATTAATATTCAAGCTTGCAGATGAATTCACTCCCAGGGAGAGATTATTTGTGGCCAAAATATCCAGATCTCAGTATGAGATTTAAATAAGGAAGGAGCAGCCATCCAGAAAGAAGATAGAAGGAAGGCAGGATGTATGAGGTGGTGGATTTAAAAGTAAACACAAAGTAAGAGACCCCAGCAAAGGAAAGAAATGCAAACTTTATTTTTGTCCTCAAACAATGCAGCACCGTATGAATGAATACAAAATCCTTTACTTAAAACGTTAGAAACAAATACATTTAGGTTTTCTTCCTTACTTTTCTCATTCGAAGTCCCAAAGTAAATCGTCAGAGGCATATCATGAAATAGGCTTTTTACCAATGCTGGCTTAGCAACTTGAATTTTACATTCTGGTGCTTGTGGGTAGCAAGAATTAAAAACATTCCTTAGAGAAAAGGGAAGCACAGAGAATATGCAAGTGGATTAGTAGCATGCAACATTAAACTCACTGTACACTAAATACCATCACAAGAAATAATCCTGATGTCGAGTTTTTCAAAAAGATTTTTGAAAACATCAACATGGAAAACACAGAACATCACTTATTTGAGATGGGGGCTAGACCGAAGCTACCTCACAGATAAAATGGCAGCAGCTTACAGATCACAATCTCTTTGCTACACTGTACTTCAATTGGTGAGAATGAATTTTAAAAACACTTCTAAAAACACTTGCAATTAAATAAAGATTCTCACATTTCCACAACCATTGGACTTTTGTTCGATGAGAACACTCACTTGTTTAAAAAAAAATGGGAAAGGAGGAATTTTGATCAGAAAGCTAAGTGATGATTCAATAGTGAACAAATCATTACTTGGAAGGATATGAAAACCCAAAAAGAAGTTAAGGCTCTGCAGTGAGCACAGACTATATTACACCTAACTCATGGTTTAAAGAAAAAACTCCTCCTAATAATAATCAGCAGGCTTTTATCCCAATAGCAACCTATTGAATCATATCCATTCAACAATCTCATCCATATCTAAGCAATTGGCAATGTGCAATTTAGGAACAGTTTCCAATCCTAACAGACAACATCAATTTTGTCTCATTAAAAGAAAGATTACAACCTGCAGCATCAGATAAAGGATGAGACAAATACGTATCTTGATTCCAATGTCCAGTTGCTAGATTCAAAATACATACTAACTTTACAGGGGAGCCAATGGCCTAGTGGTATTATCGCTGGACTGTTAATCCAGAGACCCAGATAATGTTCTGGGGACCCGGGTTCAAATCCTGCTACAGCAGATGGCGGAATTTCATTCAATGAAAAATCTGGAATTAAGAATCAAATGATGACCCCCATGAATCCATTGTTGATTGTCAGGAAAAACCCATCTCGTTCACTAAGGTCCTTGAGGGAAGGAAACTAACATCCTTACCTGGTCTGGCCTACATGTGACCACAGCAATGTGGTTGACTCCCCTAAGGTTTTGGAGTAGATCTGTAGCTCAGGTTGTGGGCGTTGAGGTTGGTTGGCTCGCCGAGCTGGTTTGTTGTTCCGCAGACGTTTCGTTACCACGCTGGGTAACATCCTCAGTGCAGCCTCCGATGAAGCGTTGGCGTTTTCCTGCCTGGCTTTTAAACTCTGGAGTCAGTTGAGCTGGATTACCTCACTTACAGTTTTCCTCGTGGTGGAGTGTATATGGGGTCGAGTTCTGTGTGTTTATTAATGGCTTTCTTCGTGGAGTGCCAGGCTTCTAGGGATTCCTGTGCCTGACTCTGCTTAGCTTGTCCCAGGATTTTGGTGTTGTCCCAGTCAAATTGGTGGTTCTCCTTATCCATGTGGATTGAGATGAGGGAGTATTGATTTGTGCCTTTTTGTAGCCTATAAGGATAAGGAGAACCACCAATTCAACTGGGACAAGCTAAGCAGAGACAGGCACGGGAATTCCTAGAAGCCTGGCACTCCACGAAGAAAGCCATTAATAAACACACAGAACTCGACCCCATATACACTCCACCACGAGGAAAACTGTAAGTGAGGTAATCCAGCTCAACGGACTCCAGAGTTTAAAAACCAGGCGGGAAAACACTGACGCTTCATCAGAGGCTGCACTGAGGATGTTACCCAGCATGGTAACGAAACATCTGCGGAACAAGAAACCAGCTCGGCGAGCCAACCAACCTCAACAGTGGTCGACCTTGAACTGCCCTCTGGGCGATTAGGAACGAGTAATAAATGCTGCCGGGGGAGTTCGGGGGAAAAGAGGGTAAGGGTCTGGGTGGGACTCAGAGGGTTGAATGGCCTCTTTTTGGACTCTAGGGATCCTATGATTCCTGACAGAATACTAGGAAAATAAGAGCAAACCACAGTAGGACTTCCAATTCTTCAAAGTAAATAAAACATATCAGCAAACTTACCTGGCATCAGCAGATTCTGGGAGTTCACTAAAGGCCACCTTAGATAAACCATGTGTCGATTCAGTAGAACAAGATTCTGACATGGTAGAGCACTCTGACTCTTCTAAAAAGGAAATAACTAGTATTTGTTTGTTCCTTAAAATGTAACAATGCCAAAATTAACAGGTATGAGCCCTCAGCCCTCTGTTGAAACCATGGGTAGATCTTTTAAAAAGGGAAAATTATTTTTAACTGAATCATATTTTACCCTTATAAAAGCAAAAGGGAGATATCTGTAAAGAAGTGTGCTTTCTTAGGAGAATATTTCTCTGCCTTAGCAGTCCAGAACTAGGAGTCAGCCATTTGGGACTGAGATGAGGAGAAATTTCTTCAAAACAGAGGCTTGTGAATCTTTGGCATTCTTGATTCTAACTATGGATCCTTAGTCATGGAATTTATTCAAGACAGAGGCTGATGACTCTCTTGGAAATCAAGGGTTGTATTATGTTGTAAGGAGTATGAACCAAAAGTACAAGATTGTCTATGTCTTACAGAAGGTTTGAAGGGCCAAATGGCCAATATACAAGCCTATTCCTTATGTTCCTAAATTCAACCATGAAAGTATTATTGAAAAGTCATGCAAACCCAATAATTTTGGTTTTAAACCTAGTTATTCTATTTAAACTTAGAGGTAAAAAGGAAACAAGCATACATTGCTAAGAACAACACTCTTGTGAACAGCGTATAGGTTTTGAAATCCATAAGAAAACGGAACACATGAAAAACTTAACTGTCATTCGAGCCCCCGTTTATTATTTCTCAGCCTTTTCTATGGTCTCCTGAGCTGTGACAAGTGGAATAAAGTAACTCAGTTCTTTTCGAGAAAAAAATCCTTCAATATCTTGAATGAAACGGTAGACAGCAATAAACAAATTGTGAATCAAGTTTTCCCATGACCAAGATCAAATCTGGGAATAAATGTTTAGACTGAAAGTGGGACTAAACATTTGTTTTGAATAAAAATCAAACTAGAACTGAAACAAGATGCAGGAATTTGAAGCAGAATTACAAAAACTGTTCATAAAGCTTTCAACCAGCCATTAGATTTGCAGCACTTTGCATAAGATGCCTTACTTTAAAAAAATGTTAAAACATGTGCCAATGCCTACAGAGAAGGGGGTACATGTTAAATGGCAGCAGCCTAGTAAGTACAGAGGATCAGAGGGACTTTGGTGTTAACATTCACAGATCTTTGAAGTCAATAAGACAAGTGGATAAAGGTGGTTAAGAAAGGATATGGGTAACTTACCTTTATTAGTCGAGGCACCGAATACAATAGTAGGGAGATGATGGAGGGGTAGAAGATGTTAGTTAGACCACAGCTAGAGTACTGTGTGCGACACAGTTCTGGTCAATCGTTATACAAAGGATGTGACTGTACTAGAGAGTGGCCAGAACAGATTCACCAGGATGTTGCCTAGGATGGCGCTATTCAGATGTGAAGGAAGATGGGATAAATTTAGGTTGTTTCCCTTAGAACGAAGAAGACGAAAGGTGGGACTCAACTGAGGTGTACAAAATTATGAGGGATATAGATTGATAGGAAGAAATTTTCCCTTTAGTAAGGGATCAATAACTAGGACAGCACACATTTAAGCTAATGGCAGGAGGTTCAAGATGAGATTTAAAAAGAATTTTTCACCCAGAGGGTGGTGGTACAAGGAACTCACTCCTTGCAGAATGATAGAGGCAAGAACTGACACATTTAACTAGTATTTAGGCATAACTTGAAGTGCCATGGACTATACAAAGCTATGGACCAAATCCAGAAAATGGGAAACAGTAGATAGGTGTTTGATGACCAGGTGAACATGTTGGGTATTGGGCCTCTTTTTATGCTGTCAAGTTACATGAATAAGTCTCACACAATGATGTGGTTTTCAGGAATGAAGGAGGAACCCAACGATAAGAAAACATCTACCACTGATGAACATGATTCATTGAAATTACCATTACATTCCTGGCTGCTAGTATCATCCAGTCCATCTGCAACCTCTTCTTCTTCCTCCTCCTCCTCCTCCTCCTCCTCCTCCTCCATCTCCTGCCTGGTAAGTAACAGAGACATGGTTTAGATAGCCTGGAAGTACAGTACTTTATATACCACCAATCATTTATTTTATAATCTGTCTCCTCCATCTGTTTTCCTGGACAAATAGAAGGGAAGCTCAGTGATAGTTATGAACAAAGTAGCAGCTGAAGTCCCTTGAGCGAACTTTCCTTCATTCAATAAGATCATGACCGAGCTGTTTACACTTCAATTCCTACATTCATACGAGTCCAGTATAACTTCAATTTCATCGCCTAAAAATTCTACCTCCTTCTTAAAAATACTCAACAACTTGGCTTCCAACACTCTGATGCAGGGAATTCTGAAGTATTTTAAACCTCACAAATTCTCATCGACATCCAAGAGTGACCCCTAATTTTAAGTGATCCTTGTTCTGGACTGACCTATAGAGAAAAACATCCTTTCCACATCCACCTCGTCAAGATAGAGGACACAGTACAGCACAGGAACAGGCCCTTCAGCCCACCAAGTCTGCACTAACATGTGACAGGTTTTTAGTTTGAAAACGTATTACCTCTACGCGGTCTATATCCCTCTACTCCCTGCCTATTTATGTATCTGTCAAGATGACTCCTAGATGTCAGTGTTGTATCTGCCTCCATCACCTTCTCTGACAGTTCACTCCAGGTACTTACCATCCTCTGTTTTAAAAAAAAAATGTTTCTCACATCTTTGTTTGAATCCCCCCTACCCAACTCCACCACCCCCACCTTTTACCTTACATCTGTGCTCTCCAGTAAATTTCTACCTTTGAATAGTCAGAGTCTTTCCCTCTTTTATCCATGCCTCTCAATTTTGTAAGCTATCAGGTCGCCCTCAGCCTCCAACATTCAAGTGAAAACAAACCAAGTTTGTCCAATCTCTCCTCATAGCTAATACCCTCCAAACCAGGCAACATCCTGGTAAAACTTTTCTGTACCCTCTCCAAAGCCTCCACATTCTTCTGGTCATGTAGCAACTAGAACTGTATACAATATTCCAAACATGGCCTAACTATACAGCTGCAACATGTCTTGCTAATATTATACTCCATGCCCTGACCAATGAAAGCAAGCATGCCATACACCTTCTTGACCACTTTATCCACTTGCGTTGCCACTTTCAGCGAACTGTGGATCTGTTCACCTAGATCCCTCTATGTTCATTAATGTCCTTCAGGGAAGGAAACTGCCATCCTTACCCGGTCTGGCCTACATGTGATTACAGACCCACAGACAATGTGGTTGACTTGTAACTGCCCTCTGGGCAATAAATGCTGCCCAGCCAGTGATGCCCTCATCCCATGAATGAATAAAGAAAAAAAAGTAGTGCTTCAAGGGTTCTGCCATTTACTACACACTTGCTTGCTGCACTGGATCTTCCAAAATACATCACCTCACATTTGCCCAGATTAAATTCTATCTGCCATTTCTCCACCTAGGTCTCCAGCCTATTTGTATCTTCCTGTATTCTCTGGCAATCCTTCTCTTTATCTGCAGCTCCCCCAATCTTCGTGTCACCCAGAAACTTACTAATTAGCATTCAGCGTCTTATGAACTTCAATCAAGTCTAGAAACTAGGAGCAGGAATAAGCCATTCAACCAGTTCTGCCAATCAATATTATAATGGTCGATCTGCTATCTCAACGCCATAACTTGGTGTGGCTGGGCCCAGTTTAAATTACAATGGCAAGGGTACAAGAGCCTGAGCAGGGAGCCAGAAGTGGGAGGAACATAGACAGGAAAAAAGATAGAAGAGGCAAGAAGCACAAGTGGAAGACAGAAAACAAAAAGGGGGTAAAAATGGGCCATAGTGCAAACTGGAGCTAAGATGACTAACAAGGTTAAAAAAGTCAAGTCAAAAGACTGTGCCTTAATGCACAAAGCAATGAGGTAAACGAACTAGCAGAGAAAATAGATGTAAACAGTTATGATATAGTTGCAATTATTGGAACATGGCTGCAGGATAGAATCTAAACATTCAGCGGGTATTCAATACTTAGGAAGGACAGCCAAAAAGAAAGAAATCAATGCAATAGTGAATAAGGACATTGGCTCAGAAAATCATGATGTGGAATTTGTACAGATGGAGACAGAAAAAAAAACACCAAAGTTCAGAAAAAGTTGTTGAAAATCATCTATAGGGCCCAAAACAGTACTGGAGATGTAAGGGAAGGCATTAAATTAGAAATCAGATGCAGGCAGTAAGGCACAACTTGTAGCCATGGGTGATTTACATACAGATTCAACAAACCGTACCAGCAATGATCTTTGTGGAGGGGGATTTTCTGGTGTGTATTTGGTGGCTTTTTAGATCAATACATTGAGGAACCAACAAAAGAACAGGCTATCCAGACTGGGTATTATGCAATGATTTAGGATTAATTACCAGGTTGTTGTGCGGGGTCCTTTGAGGATGAGCCACAATAATATGATAAAGAATTCTATCAGAACGGAGAGTTAAAAAATCAAATCCAAAATTAGGGTCTTGAATCTAAATAAAGGGTATGAAGCAAGAATTGGCAAGGGTACATTGGGTAATCGTACTTAAAAGAGTTGACATTGGATAGTCAATGGTTTATAATTAAAGAACTGGTGCATGAATTACAAAATTATTCATTCTTGCCTGGTGCAAAAATAGAAGAGGAAAGGTGACTCAACTATGGCTTTGAAAAGAAATTAGGGACAACATTGGATCTAAAGGGGAGACATATTAAAACGGTCAGAAAAAGCAAGCCTGAGAATTGTGGGCATTTAAAATCTCAGCAAAAATGAAAGTAGAATGAAAGGGATTCAGGACTCTCATGTCAGAATCAACCAGGTCATTCTCCATCTTGATGACGAATTCTATCATATTATGGTCACTTATCTCCAAGGGGCCTCCCACAAATAGTTTGCCAATTATTCCTTTCTCATTGCACAATACCCAACTTGAGGGTAGTCTGCTCTCTAGCTCGTTCCTAAAGGAAGCTGCCCTGGAAATAGAGGATGATTTGGTGGTCACTTCCCAAAATTCTATAACATCTAGGAGTAATTATTATAGATTGGATGGTCACAAATGTGACCAGATTATTTAACAAGCTAAAAAGGAGAGATAAAACAGAATTACAGACCAGTTAGCCTAATTAGTTGCGGGCAAAATGCTAGTCTGTTATAAAAGATATGATAACAGAACATTTGCAAACCATTCATAGGACTGGGCAAAGCCAGCATGGGTTTATGAAAGGTAAACTGTGCTTAACAAATCGAATGGAGTATTTTTGAGGATGTAACGAATAGTATTGGTAAGGGAGAACCACTGGACCTTGTAAGTTTGGATTTTCAGAAGGCTTTAGATGAGGTTTAACGCAAGAGGTTAGTGCGTAAAATTAAAGCACTTTGGATAGGCAGTAATAAACTGATATGAGTCAAGAACCAGTTGTCAGACAAGAAACAGAACGGTAATGGGAAAAAGAAAACAAGAACTGCTAAAGCAGGAAGTCTTAAAGAAAACAAATTGCTGGATAAACTCAGTAGCTCTCGTAGCATCTGTGGACAGAAAGCAGAATTAACACTTCAAGGGCAGTGATCCTTCTTCAAAACGGATGATAGCTATGGGTGGCATTTAAGATGGCCGGGGAGGGAATGCAGGAGAGAGCGTATGAGTGAGAGAAGAGAACACCCAAGTTAGGGAGACAAAAGAGATGAATGATAATATGCTCAGAAGAAAGAAAAGCTCATAATGGAGACCATGAGTAGGCGAAAATAGGTTGGCTTGGCTGAAAAACTGCCCACGTGATGACAAGGTCCGGGGTGTCGGGTTGGGTAAAGAATATGGAAAGGAGGTTTTCAGGTTCCAAAATTATTGAACTCGATATTGAATCCTGAATCCTGCAGGGTCTGCAAGCAGCTGTTCTTCCAGCTTACAATGAGTTTCACTGGAGAAATGCAGCAGACCCGAGATAGAAACGTTAGCCAAAGCTCACAAACGGTAGGCAACTGAAAATTCAGAGTCATTTCTGCAGTCAGAACATAGGTGTTCTGCAAAACACTCATCCAGTCTACGTTTTGCCTCTCCAATATTGAGGAGACCACATTGGGAGTAGCTAAAAAAAAGCTTAGACTGAGTGAAGTGCAAGCAAATTGGTGCTTCACAAGTTGTCTGGAGCTTTAGATAGTGAGGAGAAAGGCTGCAAACTAGCAGGTTTTGCAACTTCTGTGACTGCACGAGATGATGATGTGGGGAGGTGTTGGGAGTGGAGTAGAAGACCAGCGTGTGCCAGAGGGAGCAGACCCTGTGAAATGCTGATTAGAGATGGAAAGGATATCTAGAAAGAAAAGAGCAGCAGATTCACGAGAACACGAGCATCTTCAAGTTCCCTTCCAAACCACTCACTATCCTGACTGTTGCTGGATCAAAATTCTGGAATTCCCTCCCTAATGGCATTGTGGGTCAATCCACAGCAGGTTAACTGCAGTGGTTCAAGGAGGAAGCTCACCACAATTTTCTCAAGGGCAACTAGGGACGGGCAATAAGTGCCAGCCAGCCAATGACGTCCACATCCCACAAATGAATGTCTGATGGTGGCATTCCACTAGAGGTGGCAGAAATGGCAATGAATGTTGGTGGGGGTGGAAAGTGAGGACCAGTGGGGCCCGATCAGTGTTGTGAGAGGGGAAAGAAGGGACGAGGGCAGACTGGAGGAACAGCATCTCATTTTCTGCTTGGGAACCCTGCTGCGTTCAGGACTCAATACAGAGTTCAATAACTTATGGGCCTGAATACCACCTTCCATGTCCTTTACTCACCTCCACACACTAGGCCCAGTTGTGGCACCGACTGCTTTCATCATAGCCAACCCATTTCACCTCATGACCCCATTATCAACTTTCCTTTCTTGTGAGCATACTATTATCTATCCCTTTGTCTCCCTGTTGTTCTCTTTCTCGGAGCTCCAATTCTGCCTGCTTGTCCTCTTCCTTCTCCTCCTACCCCTTGTCTTCAGCATAAATATCATCTATTCCTAGCTATCATCAGTTCTTAAAAATGGTCACTGGACTAGAAATTTTAACTCTGCTTTCTCTCTACAGATGCTGAGTTTCTCCACGAATTTCTGTTTTCTTTGGGAATAAATAGGTCTTTTTCCAAATGGTAAGCAATACCGCAAGGATCAGTGCTTGGGTCCCAGCTACTCATGATTCTCATAAATGACTTGAATGAGATAACCAAATGCAACACTTCCAAGTTTTCCAACATTAAAACTGGGTGGCATTAACAGATGAGAGGAGGGTGGAAGGAAGCTTCAGAGTGATTTAAACAAGTTGAGTGAATGGGCAAACTTGAAAAATGCAGTGCAATGTGGCTAAATATGAAGTTTAGTTTCTCACTGTCTCACTTGTGCCTCCCTCCTCCGACTTTATTTATCGTTATTACTGTTTTTTGCATCCTCTATAATAAAGTCAGAAGCAAAATGTTTGGTCATTCCTTTCAGCTATTTCCTTATTATCCATCACTAACTTTCTGCTCCCACTCTCTAGATGAGCAGCACTCAATTACTTCACCCTCTTCAAATACCTACCTCAGCTCTTGATATCAGTTTTTACATTCCTAGGTAGTTTCCTCTCATACTGCAATTTCTTCTTTCTGATTAACCTTTCAGTCATTCTCTGTCATTGTTATATTGACCAATCATTTGACCTGTCATTCAGCTTTGCGCAGTCACATGCTTTATCCTTTAGCTTGATGCTTTCCTTAATTTTACTTGATGACAGATGGTGGCCCTCCCTTTAGGAATTTTTCTTTATACTGGTCATGAATGAATGTCAGGTGGTGGCATCCCAACAGAGGTGGCGGAAATGTTTTCTTTGGAAATGGTTGGACAAATAAAGTAGAAGAATCTCAACAGTATTTGATTCTCTCCTACATAACATAGCTAAGATGAGGAACAAGTTATGCAGGAAAATGCCAGATAAGCATCCATTATCACACTTTGGTAATGGCAGGCAAGACAGCAATTCACTTTATTGGAATAGTTTTTCTTGACGATAGAATGTTCTATAGATTGTTTACAGTATGACAAGTATATGTTCTTATCACAACAAAAATAGAAATTGCTGAAGAAACTCAACAAGTCTGGCAGTGTCCGTGGAGAGAAAGCAGAGTTAATGTTTTGGGTCCACTGATGCTTCATCAGTTCTGATAAATGCTGGCCTAACCAGCAACACCCACATGCCATGAATGAATAACAAAAGCTCGACATTTTTCAACTTTGATAATACACTTCAGACCAGACTTTGGCCTTTCACCTAGGTTTCATTAAAAAGAGCTCCCGTGAGAAAATAGTTGAGCACATGTTCAACTGAATTTGAGAGAATCACTAGATGGCAGGCACAAAATATGAAAACATGTTGAAAATCTATGTGCATCAGTAGCTGACCAAGATTAATACCAAACTCATGGCATTTGAAGAACTTGAACTTCATAATGCTCCATACAATCATGTTCATAAACGAGAGATGCATTAAACATATACTTGTGCCTAATCAAGTTAGAAAGTTATTGAGTAAAAGGTATTATAATTAATGCTTGCACTAGTTACAACACAAGAAAAAGGAGAAGTAGGCCATTCAGCACCTCAAGCCTGCCCCACTATTTTAGAAGACCATAGCTGATCTGCCCCCAGGCCTCAATTCCTCTTTTGGGCTAGCTTCTCATAGCCCTCTACTCAATATTTCAATAAATGTTATTTACCCTCTCCAGTGATCAATGCTTTTGGGTAGAAAATTCTAAACATTCATTACCCTCTGACAGAAGAAAGTCCATCATATACAATGATAGAATTGTACAGTACAGAAGAGACCTTTGGCTCAAATCTGTACCAACAAAGCTACACTAAATCTACACTAGTCCCACCTTCCAGCACTATGCTTCTGAATGTTACGACATTTCAAGTGCTCATCCACTTTTTTAAAAAGGCTGCAAGGTTACACACCTCAACTACCTCCCAGGCGGTGCATTCCAGATGCCCACCATCTCCAGGTAAAAGAAAATTTCCTCAAATCCCCTGTAAAACCTCCTGCCTTTCACTTAAAGAAGTATTCCTCCTTGTTATTGACGCCAAGGGGAATAGCTGCTTTATTATTCCTGCCCATGGCCCTCAGAATCTGATAAACTTCCATCAAGTTCCCCCTCAACCTTCTGTTTAAAAAAACCTGAGCTTCTCCAGCCTCTTTATAGCTGAAATGCTTAATCCCAGGCAACATTCCTGGTGAATCTCTTCTGCAGCCTCCAGTGCAGTCAAATCCTTCCTACAATGAAAAAAATCAGAACTGGTTAGACCATAGCTACAGTACTATGCAAAGTCTTATATACCTCTGACATAACCTCCCTGCTCTTATAATCTATGCTAAGACTGATAAAGGCAAGTGCCCTTCAGTTTTAAGTCAGTGTCCTCTAGCTTGATAATCCCCCAGTTGTGGAAACATCTTTTCAATATCTGTCCTGTCAAGCCCCTCAGAATTTTGCATGTTTCAATAAGATTATCCTTTTGCTAAATTTTAATGAATAAAGGTCTAATCTGATTATCCAGCCCCTTTTAATCGCAAAAATCAATGTTGCGCATCTCTTTAAACTGTCTCGTGTCAGTAATGCTTTCTTAAATATGACAGATAAAACTGTACACAGTACTCCAAAGCATTGCCTCACCAATACCTTGTAGAGGTGGAACAAGGCTGTTTTCAGACTCCAATTCCCTTGGAATAAAGGTTCAAGAAATGCAGCCAATCATTTCAAAGTATGCTAGCATCTCGAGTGGTGTCAGAACTAAGCAAAAACAATTAGACTTATCAACTCAATCCACTTAGTCTGTTCATCAAATTATACCATACTGCCTCCACAGCCACCTTTTTAACAGCGTGAATTAATATTAATGGGATACTGGCAATGTAATAAGTTGGGAAATACTGAAAGGATACTTACTCAGAGTCTTGAGAACCTGCATCATTCTTGGGCTTTTCCACAGTTTTTTCAACCTTTTTTGCATACTTGAGTTGCATGGCAGCAATCTGTAGTGTGACAGAGCCAATGTTTGTCTTAGGGGAAGAAACAGAGATCATCTTCTTGCTTTGGTCAGGCTGATGATGCAAGTCAGGAGATCCTGCAAAACTGACTGGGCTACTATTCTGGATGTGCACATTGGTGGATAAAATGCCAACAGGAGTTCTGTTGGTACGAGCAACTAGATTATCTTTACTTGTACTGTTCTCTTTAGCTACAGGCTCCAAGTTAACATTGGTACAACTTCGTTCAGCTTTTAAGACTGTTTGGAGATTATTTTTCTCCTGACTGAGATTTGGCACAGTTCTTTTCAATAATCCTGCAGCACTGCTGAAGGGGCCATTCTGAAAATAAACACCTTGGGAAGGTAAGCCTTCAGTTTCTTTTGAAAATGTCACACATCGTTCAATTACATGATTCTTCGGGATGCGGTCTTCTGATACCCTTCTTATAGCTTCTGTAAACTTTAGCTCTGGATCCCCAGCATTACTTTTGGTTAGCTTGATAGCACTCTTCAAATTACCATGGGAATGTTCATTCTGATGTGAAGGTCGATCTAACTTAAGATCTGCGTTAACATGAACAGCACTTCCAGAGATAGTCCTAGCGTTGCTACCATTGTGCTTAGCTGCATTTTCCGAGTCTCCAAATTCATTGCTTCCGTTTAAAGTCTTGGCATTCTTATCACATTTCCGGAGCATAGGCACTTTGGCACTGGTGGGTCTCATGAATGCATTTGTGTTCAGCAAAGGTTTGCAAAATAGTGAAGTAAGTTTACCTGCATGATTGGGGCCATTTCTGCCCAAGAGCAGAGGTTCATGACCAGCACTATGAGAACCATAATGCTGTGAAATTGGAGTAATGGCACCATTGGGTTTCATTAAGCTTTCGCAAGAGATTGTTCTTGAGGGGAGTGAGGGGATAAAGTCGTTAATGCTCGCTGAACTTGATGTGGTTCTACTTCCTAGTCCACTAAATCGTGAACCCAGGGACTCAAGTCTCTGATAGGATCTGCAGCCATAGCCAATTCGATCATGAATGGGCGAGTTTTCAAAAGGACTGATCAAAACATTTGAACGAAAACCTGCGTGCGAACTCAACGTTAATGATTTGCCATTACCTCCTGACAGAGAAGGATAAGAGTGACCAGCAACATTCTGAGATGTTCCTGAACAAGTATTTTGTTTCCTTATGGGTACAATCACATTATAGCCATCCCATTCCCATAGCGGATGCTGGGAAACAGAATAAGCTGGTCTGCTCTCCTGTGGTTGACCATAATAAAAGGATTTTGGACTAGAGTTGAGTGAAGTTTTGTTTTTGCCACTGGGGTCTATGGAACACTCCTCAGTCTTGGATGCAGCCATGAACTGCCATTTCATTCATAACACAGGCAAACTCAAGAGAAGCAGTGCAACAGAGGAGACAGTAGGAAAAAAATCATTTTCGCTGAACCTGGAAAAAGAAAAAAAATTGTTTTGAAAAATAAACAGCATATTTAAAAATGCAAGCAATTTCTACATCAGGACAACAGAATACACAAAGTTTGCAAAGTTACTGACAAGACGTTTAATGACAAATCAAATTAAGTCAAAGGAGCTACAGATATCAATTAGTCAAAAAAATGCAAGGTTGTTATTTGGTATTCTGATCATATTCATAATGACACACCACTGGATATAATTAACTTTCTGAAGTAAAAAATTCATCTTATCTTAAGAGATATGGGAAGCAGGCCAGAAAGAGGAGTTCAAAACGAAGATCAGCTCAAAACGAAGATCAGCCATGACTGTATCAAATGGCAGAGCAGGCCCAACAAGCTATATGATCTACTCCTGATCTAACTACTTACAAAGAAATTACTGAAAACCCCAATAGTCAATCTAGTTTTATTTCTAGTGGGCACAGTTCCATACACTTCTATGGCACATCCAGTGGAACAATTTATCCACTGTTTTGACCTTTGGGAGCAATGACAAGACCAATCAAATTTACTGTCTAGACTAGAAAACTAAATGATTCTGAGTACTGGACTATAAGAGAAGAAATTAAAATAAGGGTACTGGTCTGAAGATAGCAAGCGCAGCTCAGAGTCAGAAGGTTGGAGGTTTGAGTCCCACTTGAAGGTTTGAGCATGTAACCTGAGAGTGACAATCCTAGTGCAGTACCTAAGAGAGTGTTGTAGAGTAGTCTGCACAGTCATTTGGATGAAATATTAAAAATTGAGGCCCTGTCAATTCTGTCAGATTGAAATAAACATAACATGTTTGTTTTTAAAAGAGCAAGATATGCCCAACATTCTTGTCAATATCACCAAAACAAAAAAAGTTAATGATCTGGTCATTATCTTACTGCCGTTTGTAGGAACTCACCAAGCGCAAATTGAATTCTCAAATTGTCAACGGTGCTTCCTATTTTATTACGATTATGCGAAAGTACTTTCACATAAAGTGCTTCAGGATGCCCGGTGATTTTTTTCCACGAAAATTTTTAGGGCACTTCTGAGATGACTAAATCAGAGTCCTTATGGGAGTCTAGGTTGAAAACTTTGTTTTGTTGCTGTATGTTTTAATATTTTTCTCAACTCTTCTATATTTAGATATATTGGTTTTTATTTCTCATTTATGTAATAAACTTCGGTTCCATTGTTTGTGTTTCTAAATTAAATTAATTCCTTAATTGTTCTAAGCCTAAAACCAACTATTGTGTACTGTTATAAATCAGCACTGTATAAATCATTTTCTATTAACACACCAGAGAACCATTTGTTTTCTGAACAATGTTAGATTAGGTTCCAATTAGCTCTGACTTTTTTTTTAAAAGAAACTCCTTTATAAAAGTCACTATTACCACTACATTTTGAAATTCAAACTCCAAAAATAATAACCACACCTTTCATCTCATAATTCAGATGTTTGAATGAGAGTTTTCAGAGGTCAACCAGATCAGTTCAAAGATCAAATTCTGTCTTAGACAGGGAGTGAGTCAGAGAAAGTGATTCCCTGCTGTTTAGAAACAGAAGGTTTCTCACTTTGGATAGCTTGACATCCAAGTATTTGGATGGAGTGGCAAGAGGCTCTAGGCAGCCATGGTGTTATGATCAGCAGTCTCGAGTCACTTAGGACTTGGCAGAAGTTCTGAGGAGCTGAGAAGGTGACAATGTCATCGTGGGTTGGAAACAGTTATGGCTCAGAAGAAGACCTGTGAGCTATTGATAATTAAATGAAGCTGAATGTGGCAGCAAAGGAAGCCCACCAGCGTTATTTGCTTGGTGCAGCTAAGAAACATTAGAGGTTTTAGTAATCTATTGGCAGCGCCAGCTTAGTGAAGCTAGCTGTTTGCAAAATATATGGACTTCTGCCTGTGCATAAATGTATTGAAGTATGACATCAAGAATCTAGTGATCTAGTATCTCAGGAAGAGATTAGTTACCCAAACAGAGAGTCATTAAGGCAGTCTGTGACGGAATGGTTTTTAAGGGAATTCTGAAGCTAATTTTCAAAAGTGAAGAATTAGAAACCCGCCATGCAGGAGGCAAATTTAAATGTAATCTGGATGTGGGAGAGAGAGGCAGTTGTCTCTCTTTTGAGCAAAGAGGTAACTGAAGGTAATGAACATAAAGAGAATCAAGTGGGAAAGTTTATTGTACGGAATGGTTTTTCAAGATGGCTTTGAATGTAGTTAAAAGCTTTTGGGAGGAGAGGAGATAACAGTGGATTATTTTAAATCCTTGATTAATGCAAAACAGAGGGGTAGTGGATAAACTGAAGGTAACAATCTCATAAGGTAGATGCTTAAAGTGATTGTCCAACAATTTAAATCAGAAGACAAGAAACCTGAAATTGAGATTCACACCTGGATTTAGCTAAGCAAGTTAAAAATAAAATGACATGCGAATTCACAAAAAATAGAAAATGAAAACACTTGAATGGGAAGAAAAGCAAAATGGAACAGTAAGAAAACAAAAAGATAACAAAAATTAGAAGGAAAGAATAAAAAAATGGAAAGGGAAATGGAACTGAGAAAACTTGAGCTCTAAAAGACACAAATCAAAAGGCAAAAACTCCACAGAAGCCAATATCCTGTTGTCAAGTCACCTTTTATTTCCATGGACAGTCCTTGACACTGATCCAGTTCTCAGAGTGAACAGGATGTCTTACACTCCCGTTCTTATCTGTCAGGCAGGGCTCCCTGACTGGACCAGATTAACAGCCCCAATCAGGGAACTCGTTCCATGAGGTCCACCTGGCTGACGTCGTTACAATCACTAGAGGTAATGGTTCAGGAGATGGTTACAAATCCAATGAGGGATTTGAATTAACTAAAAATCTAATGAAAATGGAGTTGGAAGACATTCTACCTCATTTGAGAAGGAAGCCAGATAGAAAATGGCAAAGAGATGTGTGGACTTTAATGTAGCAGCCCGGACTTTCTGTGGTAGCAAATTCCACAAGTTCACCACTCAGTGAAGAAATTCTCAGTCCAAAATGGTTTATCCTGTATCCTTAGATAGTAACCCACTGGTTCTGGGCTACCTGGTCATTGGGAGCATCCTTCCTGTATTACCCCGTCTTGTCCTGTTAGAATTTAATGCGTTTCTACAAGATCCCCCTAATTCTTGTAAACTTCCATGTTCAAATGAAACAAGGTCTGGACAATATCTAGACTTGAGCTGACAAGTGGCGAGTAACATTCGTGCCACACAAATGCCAGGCAATAACCGTCTCCAACGGAAGACATTCTAACCACCACCCCTTGACTTTCAATGGCTTTACCATCATTCAATTCCCCGCTATCAACATCCTGTGTGTTACCATTGACCAGAAATTCAAATGGACTCACTACATAAAGAACAGGAGTGTCAGACATCCTGTTCACTCTCAGAACTGGATCAGTGTCAAGGGCTGTCTATGGAAATAAAAGGTGACTTGGCAACAGGATACTGGCCTCTGTGGAGTTTTTGCGTTTTGATTTGTGTCTTTTAGAGCTCAAGTTTTCTCGAGTTTGGCTACAAGGGCAGGTCAGAGGCTAGGAATACTACAGCAGGTAACTCACCTCCTGATTCCCCTAAGCCTGTTCACCATCTATAAGGCACAAGTCAGGAATGTGATGGAATACTCCCCACTTGCCTAGATGGGTGCAGTTTCAATATTCAAGAAGCTCGACACCATCTAGGACAAAGCAGCATACTTATTTGGTGCTACATCCACAACTATCCACTCCCTCCACCACCGACGCTCAGTAGCAGCAGCATGTACTATCTACAAGATGCACTGCAGAAATTTGCCAACGTTCTTCAATTAGCACCTTCCAAACCCACAATTGCATCCATCTGAAGGAAGGGCAGCAGATACATGGGAACACCACCACCTTCAAGTTCCCTTCCAAGCCTCACCGTCCTGACTTGGAAATATATCACCATTCCTTCATTGTTGCTGGTCAATACCCTGGAATTCCCATTGTGGAATGTGCATTGTGGGTCAACCAAGGCATGTGGACTGTAGCAGTTCAAGAAGGCAGCTCACCACCACCACCACTTCTCAAGGGGAACCTGGGATGGGAAATGAATGCTGGTCAGTCAGCATTGCCCACATCCCACAAATGAATATTCAGGAAAAAAATAGGAACTTCACTGAATATTGCCCTAACCAATTCAACCACTGCTCTAAATCAGCACTGCCATACCAGGAATCTTTCTGATAATCCTTTGCTGCACTCCCTCAAAAGCAAGAACATCCTTCTTCAGATAAGGACACAAAATCTGCACATGATATTCCAAGTGTGATCTCACCAAGGCCATGTATAACTGCAGTAAGACATCCCTGTGCCAAAATCCTTGTTTTGAAGGCCAACATACCATTTGCCTTTGTGCCCATAAGACATAGGAGCAGAATTAGGCCATTTGACCCACTGAATTTGCTCTGCCATTTGATCATGGTTGATATGTTTCTCAACTCCATTTTACATAGAAACATAGAAACTTCTCCCCATTACCCTTGATCTCCTTACTAATCAAGAACCTATCGATCTTAAATTCACTCAACAACAGCCTCCACAATCTTCTGCAGCAATGCATTCCACAGATTAATCAAACTCTGGCTGAAGAAATTCTCCTCATCTCAGTTCTAAAGGTCATTCCCTCACTCTAAGACTGTGTCCTCACATCCTAGTCGCTCCAATAGTGGAAACATCTCCACGTCCACTCCTTAAAGGCCTCTCAGTGTTCAATTTCCATCAGATCCCCTGTCACCCTTCTAAACTTCACCGAGTACAGACCCAGAGTTCTCGACCACTCCTCACGTGACAAACCCTTCATCCTTGGGATCATTCTTGAAAACCTCGTCTGGACCCCTTCAAATACAAGCATATCCTTCCTTAGATACAAGACCCAAAACTGCTCAGAATATTCTAAATGCGGTCTGACTAGAGCCTTATACAGCCTCAGCAGTATATCC